TTACCGGCAAGGTAGATGAGCATCGCACTTATCATAACAGCCATTGGATCTCCATCTCCACTGGACCCTGCCTTTCAGCAGAAGAACAGATGAAGGTTGTGTGATCATAATTAAAAGTGCAATTAATTGTCTGATACAGCTGTTCTGCTTCACCGTAGATATTTTTATTTCGCCTAGTGTGTGTCGAATATTGCTTTCAGAAACCCAGCTTGACTTGTGAGCTAGAAAACCACCACATCTCAGACTTCCAGGACTTCTGCTTCCCCTCTCCACATTCCTAACACTTCCTGTAAAAGAGAACCTCAGCACAAAGCACACCTGTGGGCATCGGCCAAGACTGGCTGTGGCGTGATGCAAGTCCCACAATCCCCCACTAAACCGGAACATGTCAACCTTCAGCCGTACCACACAGGCAGAGTAAAACCATCTCCCCCAAAAAATCTTCTATTGATTATTTTGTCAAGCAACATCTTTGCACCATCTGGAGCTCAAAGAGTAGCGTCTGCGCAGCGTGGAAGGTGTCTTCTCGTTAGCATTTCAGCTTGGCTGCGAGCTTGGTTTGACCAAAAAGCTGCTGTTGCAAACAGTCTTCCAGGCGGGGCTGCAGCCGCCATTTTGTTCTTGATGTGTGGCGAATCGGGCTCAGACAGCAGCTGACGGACCGGGGATGGCCTCCGCCTCGCTAGCCTCCATTTCGACTTTGGCCAGGAAGCGCCTGGCCAGCCGGGGGCAGTCGTACTGCAGTCTGGTGGTGTACACGGCCCGGGTGCGTTTGGGGTACACGATCGTGGTGCTCTGGTAGCGCAGGGCCCGCTGGCGGGGCTGGAACTCCAGCTGGGTCTTGTAGCGGCGCCAGGTCCGGTCGGGCAGCACCATCACCGTTTGGCTGCAGGAGGACACACCCAAGCCCACAGGCCTCAGGGAGACGTGGTGGATGTAATGGCTGTCGGATTCGTATCGCACGGACGACTTGTACCTGCGCAGAGAGACAGTGGATGGCATCAGCATCATTGCAATCAGCATGGCATGGGTTAAAAAGATACCCCCCTTCTCCCACCAGGCTCAGGCGAGGTCTTTGCCTGGACAAAATACCAGCTGGCAAACACCGCAGAATCTGGAACTGAGTGGGAGGTGGATTTCACATTACTGTAGAGCATCTTCATTTTTCTGCTGTCTTTTCCTACTCTTGACGTTAATGGATGAGACACCAGTCTCTGGGATATACTGTACAGTAGTCATTAAGTCACATTTTCATAAGCTGTAAAAAAATCCCAAACCATGGAATTTCACGTTCATGCAAAATATTTGATGTAAAAATTCAATGCAACCGTGCTTTAATTATATCCACCTTTGTGGGTGCAGGGCAGCCCAAATAAGCCAATGCGATAGAAATATATACGTGTAGCTGCCCTGCTAGTTCGGAGGGCAGAAGTTACCTGATTTCTTTCGGCGGCAGTGGATCAACCAGAACTCCCTCTCCATAGGACAGCAGATGCAGCCGGGGGACCGACGAAGAAGGAACAGGAGGCTGTCGAGGTACAAAGCAGAGCTGTCAGCAAAATGATGTCGAAGCCCTGTGTTATGAGGGAGCAAGTGAGGGACCTGTCAGCGCAAAACGTCCTGCCAACAACAACAACAACAACAACAACAACAACACATTTGTGTCGAATGTGACGTTTCTGAGACCAGACGTTCACAGAGGTGAGCTTGAGGTTCTCTCCATTGCGCACAGACAGAATTTAACCTGGAATAACTCTGAAATAGCGTCGTTCCGGGATGCTAAGAGACAAGCAAACACGGGTTTAAAAAGTACATCGTTCGCTTGGTAAATTGTAATATTGTAATACGTCTTTAGCACAATGAAAGGACACGGGGGAGGCTGAAGTTGTGAAGCCGTATGCTTCATGACAGATTTAGTGATCATAACATGATCGCCCCCATTTGTCAAATCTTATCCCGTCTAAACTCAAATTGGATGTGAAACATCAAACCCTTGTTATCCCTGCGGCTCGCCCGCTGCATCTCCCTCCGCGTTGAGCTGCGATACAGATACTCGTCTTACGCAATTCCTTCTGTTGTACTGACACGCTGGCAAAGTTTCCTAAACCCAGCAGCGGCTTGCATGGGGAGTTCGGTAACGTCCCGAGTGAGATAACACCAGCCAGGGCAGGCTGCGTACCGGGGGCTCTTTCCTGGTCTCGGCTTCGGCGATGCCACCGCACACTCCTCTGTCGCCGCTGACCGGAGACGGCAGCCAGGCGCTCGGGCCGGGACTGGGGGGCAAACCCGAGTCCGGGCTGTCCAGCACCTTCTCCGCTTTGCGCCTCATGTTGAGCGGGTCGTCGTCGGACACATGCTGCAGGTTGAGTCTGCCCACCATTGCTGTGGTTTCTTTAAAAAATTACACTGTTTTTATGCTGTCCTTAAACGCACCTCGACCGCTCTCCCATAAAAAAACGACTGTCACGGAGACTTATCTACACCTACCTAGAAGCGAAGTAGTATAGGTGAAATGAAACGAGCAGAAAAATATTTACGCCGGTAAATGAAACAAAATCCGAATCTATGCTTTGAATACAATCGATATTGCCCTTGGAAGCCCATATAATTTTTGTCGCCAAGCAATACGCAAAAAGCAGGATCTTTGTTATTTCTAAGACCAAGACAAGGCACTTTACACCGCTACCTAATTGATTTCTGACTTCCAAGGAAAGAAAAAACAATCTTGCATATCTTAACAATAATCAAACATTGACGTGTTATCCTATTGATAAATTCGCATTCAGTCCAGTGATTGCAGTCAGTGGAGTATAAATATTTTATCTTGTACGGTTTAATCAGCTACATGTCAGATAGCGGAGAGCCCTGCCTGTCTGCCTGCCTGCCTGACTCGGCTCTCTTCTGAGACTCATTGTTTCACAAGCACTCGTGGGGAAGGAAACGCCTTTTAAACTGCCTCCCATCGCTGATTGGAGTTGTAGGCGCACGAAGGGGGGAAAAAACGTTTCAGGATTTTTCACCCGCAAATACTTTTACCTTATCAGACTAGACTTAATGGAAAGATGCCGTTCCAAGCTCACAGCCCGCTGTCTGACGAGTCTTTGGGATAAGGTGGGCAGAATTATTTCAGCGTGCTTTCAATTAGATACACAAATCATTAGCTTTCAATACAGCTTGTGTTATTCCTGGTATTTTTTTTTTTTACTTTTTGTGTTACACCATCTGAATTAAAAAGGTGAAAAGTCTTATAAGTCGATACTTGCTGAGCATAGCCTTTTACACAGGTACAACTTGTCTGAACTAATTAAAGCACAACCGAACTCCCATCTAATTTCAAAACTTTACCAAAATGAACGTCGCCTTTTTATGGAAAAAGAGTGTCCCGTACTTACAAAAAATGTCTGAACCGTGAGTTAGAAAAACAGCAGCAGTCTTGTTAAATGTATGATTTATTAGTGTCATATCGTTACCAGCTGTTATAGTCCTGCATTACAGCTTTTCTGAAAATTCACAAAGCAGTTATGAGACAGAAATATGTACAGCAGCAGAACTGGACATCTACATTTAAACATGTTTTTAACAAGTCTGTCAGAATAGTGCACTAGCCACTGTTATATTTTACATTCTGATGATGTTTACAGATCAGTGTTTGAAAACTGGAGACAGAGCTCTGGTACTTAAACGTCCCTGTAAGAGAATGGCTTCTCCTGCAGCACTCCAGGATGTAAAAGTTATCACTAGATCCATCCGTCTTCATCCCTTCATGGTTACGGGAAGCTGGAGCCTATCCCAGCAAGCAACAGGGTACACCCTGGACGGGGCGCCAGTCCATCGCAGGGCAGACGCACGCACAGAAACTCAGACATGCGCGCATTCGCACCAGGGCCCATTTCCCCAGAAGCCAATTAACCCACCAGTATGTCTCTGGACTGCGGGAGGACACCAGTGCACCCAGAGGAACTCCAAGCAGACAGCACCCCAGCTCTGGAAGTGAACCCAGGGCCCCTGCACTGATAGGCATGCTATCACAAGATGTTCCGTCTTAATTCTGTTACTTTACACACCATTGCGTGAGGAGGCTTTAATCTTAAATTTCCGTCACAGTGATGTAATAGAAAATGGCTAGCTGGGTACACCTTTGGAAACGTTACTCCTGACCTTTGCTTTCGGTGGGTCAGGGTGATTGTCTGGCGTTTATTTGCCTGAGACTGTCACCACGTTGAGCTTGTATCCCAGAGGGCTGGGCAGAGAACACCCAGGCAGAGTTCCCTCCTTCTGGGTCATCGATCCCCTCTGAGAAAAGGTGAAAGCCAGGCAGGCAGACATTCTGAACTCACAGAGGGGTCAAAGGGTACTCAAGTTTCCGTGTTCCTGTACGGGATGGGGAAGGGGGGAGGTTGGGTGGGGTTAAAAACAGGATTTCCAAAAGTCCAAGATTTCCGAAAACAGGTTAAGAAAAAGGGAACACTATACGCTCATGAAACCTGAATCTATTCTCAGTGTTTTGAAACCTCCCCCAGATCAGCTGCCAAATACCCCTTGACCACAGCCTTATACAATTCTATTCCCCTGCTTCTAGAACAAGCTCTAATTAGCGCACAGCACTCCCTTCTTTGTGGTCTAATCTGCGTTCCGGCAGGGCTCTTAGATTAACACTGATAAACTCCAGAAGGAAACTGCAAAAGAGATTAAATAGGGAAGTGGTTGTTAAACAAGTCAGCACGTTGAAAGCACGTTTTATTCCCCCCCGTCTCTTAAGTCCTGGCAAGCCACCAGGGCTAACAGGCCAGAGCTGGTTTCAATTTGCAAAGCAGCCTGGGAAAGGAAAGAAAAGAGCAACACCACAAAATGTGGTTCCCGTTGTAACTTGGGGGTCAGAAAGTCTTGGGGTCCTTTCTGGGTTGGAAGTTTAAGGTTGTAATGTCGTGCACGAAGTATACAACTTGATCAAGAGGGAAAAAAAAAACTCTGGTAATTGATGAGCAGTGGGTGTTCCAATTTTAACATGCTGCCCCCTGTGCCATCTGCAAAGGAAGTCAGGCAGCAGTTGATTCTTACTGCAGTAATGCCGGATGCACGATCATCTCTTGGGATGTTTTATGCAAAATAAGATAGATGGGTCACCTGGCCTCATCCTGTAACCATTCTTGAGTTCCTGTGAAGCACTGTGAAATTGTGTACATGACATGCTTCTTAAACGGATCTCTATCTTAATCTATCTTAACTTGTACTTAATCCTTTGTATAGCATATAGTCCACAACAATCATATGCCTAAATTGGAGTTATACATTGGAAGAAAAAGACAGAGGGTCAGAAAAGGCTGTAGAGGTATAACTCAACATTACATCATGGTTTGGAGGAACTTAATTTGTTTCATTGTAGTAATGAAATCCAGAAACATGCTTTTCCCTGTAATCACTTGTATAAAAGCCCAATAAATAAACAAAGACAGTTACATCTTCAATGATCTGCTATGATGACAGCAGAATTAATACATTTTTTCCTTAATTTTACATCTTCACTAATATCAAGTGAACGCTAATGTAACTGCATATACAAAAAGATGTCTGACATTTCTCTTCAGGAGGGGGGCTGGAGATGTTTACCGGTGGTTCAGCAATAGAGAAGGTGAAAATGAGAGGCAGGAGATGACCCGGTCCCGAGCTCACAGTCTCTTCTTGATGAGCTTCTCCAGTTTGCGGATCCGGGAGGACTCCTGCTCGGGCGTGGGGGTGCTGAAGGACAGAGAGGAGCCCCCGTCCGCGCCGGAGGGGGGAGTGGGCAGCCTCTGCCGGAAGAGCTCCAGCACGCTGCTCTGCTCACTGCGCTTCAGGCCCTGCGAGAGAAGCAGGGGGGAGTGGGAAACAGAGGAGTCAGGAAAGAGGAACCCTCCCATCCCCAGAGTCCTGGAGAAAGGCACCTCCTTTTATGCTCTCTCTGAGTCCGTTTTACAGCAGAACTTTCAGTACACCTTTATTTTCTACAACCCGAATTCACATAGGATGAGAGGTATTTGAAGTGGCACAAACTAAGAAATGAAGCTTGAGAGTAAATAATGAAGAAGGAATCCATATTCTCTTCACGCTAAGTAGGACAAAACCGAAAGAGCTGAGTAAGATTCAGCTAGACCACTGAAATGTTCACACTGCTGAAGATCTTAAAATCCCCCATATCAAATATCCAGCATTATTTTAAGATACATTTACAAACTATTATGCCAAATGGAATCCCTCCGTGTTTTGGGGGGCTATGAACTGAATCTGAAAGCGCCTAACCTAGTTCACAAAATAAAATTAGATTTGGAGAGGGGTGAAGATGACGTGTTTGAATACTTTGCAGCCATATCCACCCTGCAGCTCACAGCTGGCAGCCCACAAAACTGAGGTACTGACCCTCCGTGGTCATTAAAATTCCAAGGGTGTCTCTTGAAAACAGTAGGGGTGTAACCCTGGCGCCCTGGCCAAATTCCCCATTGGCCTTTACCAATCATGGCCTCCTAATAATCCCCATCTCCCTAACTGGCTTCATCACTCTGCTCTCCTCCAGAGCTGGTGTGTGGGGAGCGTACTGGTGCACTTTGCTGCTGTCCCATCACCCAGGTGGGGCCGCACACTGGTGGTGGTGGAGGGGAGTCTCCATTACCTGTAAAGCGCTTTGAGTGGCGTGTCCAGAAGGGCAATATATAAGTGTAAGGAGTTATTAATTATTCCGGAGCAAGATATTAATGTGGTGTTTCGGCTCTGGCTCGGACATCACATGAGAGACGGTGTGGGAAACGGACTGTGGCGCCAGGGCTTGCCTTCATGTCGAGGATCTTCTGGAATGTCTCCGGGTTTCCGTCGGCCAGCAGCTTGATGTAGTTGTCCACAAACGCAACAGAGGGCTCGTGGGGGGCCATGACCACCTGGGGAGACAGAGCAGCTCCGGTGAGGTCAGACCTAGTCTGCAGGCAGGCTAAGAGAGCTGCTACAGTGCCGACAGGAAGAGGGGGAAGAAGGAGAACTTTAAACACTGTTTTGGACAAGAATAGGAGATTAGTTCAATATATCATGAGAAAAAAAATGCTTTCAGACAAAAAAAATAAGTAAAAAAGGATGCCACTGTAAGCGAACTTCAGAACACACTGTAATAGAATAAATAAAAATATTTACTTATATGAGCTGAATTTAAGATGATTGAATATGGACAATATGGAGCCAGTTAAACAACAAGCTGCAAATTCTACATCTGTAAAACAGAATGCTCAAAAACAGATTGCAAAGGATTTTTAAGTTTTTAAAAATGGCAGCTATTTCTGAAAAACAGACTATTACTATACTATTTGTATACAAAATGAATTACTCAGCATGGTCATGAATACCCTACAAAAAGTTTAAATTTCAAATGGGAAAGGACAGGTAATGTATCAGTAGCATTGAATACCATGTACTATACATGTACTACTGTACTATACAAGATGCTTCATTTTAAGGAGCAAACCAAATGGTTAAATGAAACAATAAAAGCTTTAATTTAATGAAAACCTCTGAAAATCCACTGCGCACTGGCATCAGAAAAGCCTAATCTTGATTGCAAAGTGGTCTAGAACCAAGTCAGTTATGCTAAATATCTTTCTTATGGGACCAAAAAAAAAAAAGACTGAGGAAAATTGGTAACAGGGCTTTGAGCATTATTTATATCTCGTTACTAAAGCAAGTGCGTGACGTCTGGGTACGAGCCGACAGAAGTCCGCAGCTCCTGCTGTGTACGGCACCCGGGTGGGGGGCAGGAATAGCTGTGCGGGTGGGGAGAGAGAAGGACACGGAATGGCAGGGGACTGTCTGGAATTCCAAGGGTTCTTCCCCTCGGCTGAATGATTTACTTAGCAACTGTCCTGGCCGCGATCCAAGGAGCTGAAGGGGCCTTGCTGTGGTTAGGTTGTAAAACCCAAGCCTGGGGCTGGATTTTCCATTCACTCCCAAGAAGCAGTCAACTGCAGCAGGGAGAGGGCCATGGCAAAATGAGCTTGGGGAAAACACTCAAGTCACAGGACATGGGCTGCATTTCATATTTCACTATTTTACAGCATAAGGAGCTACAAGAGAAAATGGCAAGGAGATAAGAATATGAACCCAAAAAAGGGTGTTCATACAACATGTTAGATGGTGGTCAGACACTAGCACTTTTGAAATTCTTATCAGAAACCTTGTAATATAACAGAGGTCAAAATTGTTGCATAAACCAGTGTGCATGTTCTTCTTAGAGAGTAAGAAAAACTACACCTGAACTTTTTTTTGCAAGAAAATAACTGTTAAGAGCAGGAGAGGAGACATCTTCTGTAATTACACCATTGTCAATAAATACATTAATAAATAATTGGATATTCCTGCCCCGTTTCAGTTTAACTGGAGTGAAAGAATTGATAAGCTTTATTTTAGATTTTCTTACAAATAGTGTTATTTGCAAAGCACTTTCAGCATACACCACAGATGGTAACAATTACTTTCAAGATATCTGGGTCAGTAAAGTTAATTAAACATGAAGTAAAAAAACAGATGCATTCGGTGTACACTTTCTCAAAGTGTAGGATAAGGCTAACAGTGTCCTTCAACTTCCCAAGACCCTCACAGGAAACCTTCTATCAACACTTTGAGAAAACACACACAGAACTTGACTGCGTGTCTGTTCAACATTTAATTGTGTCAAACACATTAGCGCAGAAAAGTGTTTATAGCATGACCTTCCTAGTATTCTTTAATGTACGTATTTCTATGCTGAAATGCACTGTCAAATTCGTAGCAACTGTCTAATCATACAAGTCTTGAGGTGCCTTTTGCTTTCTAACCAATGCACATGGAAAAAAAAACTCCGATAAAAACAGACAAGTCTCTTAGTACCTGGACTGATCTGAAAATGCCCTAGAATGATTAGGAAAGGATGAAAGTGAATTCCCGACATGGGGAATCTAGGAGGGGAGACTGCGGACAAAGAGCTGGGAGGGTGAGGCGCATGCCATTGTATCTCTGGGCCACAGCTGGGCCAGCAGGCTGGGAGACGAGCTGTGTTTATGCTAGACTCTCAGGAGGGCCCTGCGGCTCTGTATATTTGGAGGCCAGAGGCCCAGACACTAACTCAACAAGCCGTCTGCTGGCAGCTGCCCTCTCATCAAACCCTGCACATGATGCTTGTGCCTCAGCTGCTTCTCGCTTCCTTTAGCTGTTCTTAGACATCTACCTTGTGCTGGTATGCTATGATTAAAGTAATATGGAGCCCGCTGAGGGTACACAGTAACAAACCTGCAGTCTTGTTTAATGCATGAACCATTATTTACAATGTTAAGCATACCAGGTATCAAGGTTTTAGTCAATTATTCTTCCTAAAGAGTGAGCACAAGCAAAATAAAGGGATGGAAAGAACCTTAATGGAGGAATCTGTTTTCTGAAAATTGAATGTAGCAGATTAGCCTCCCCCTTCTGTCGGGTTTTCAAAAAGCACGTGTGTGCCCTGTATATTCCACTCACCTACCTGAGGTGGGAGCGCAGCAAGTTGCATGACGAAGCATTGACACGTGCAATATCAAAGACCACAGCTCCTAAGTAACTGCAAAGTGGATTTGCACACAGAAAACAGCTGCCCACCTTCAGGATCATCTCTGCGCGCGTCATGCCTTTCACAACGATCTTGGTATAGCTGGCAGGTGCTTTGCGGACCACCTGGGACCCAATGGAGGGCAGATCCAGCAGCACTGTTTTGAGGGAGTGGGTGTCCAGCAGCAGCTGCCAAAACACAGGAAGACCAGATTCAATATATTTTTCTTCATAAGAAACTAGATAATCAGTCTGCCCATTCAGGTCCCAGCACTAATAATCTTTATTCTCCGTTGGGTCGACAGTATTTCAATATGCTGGGCATTTCAGCAGCTGCTGCTGAGTGGACAGGCATGGAGCCTGAATGATGTCTGTAATCTAGATACCAATAGCAACTCAGTTAGTCGGCCAGACAGGTATGCATATATACTAAAAATACAATTTATAGACCATTTCTCTGATATTGTGAGAAACTTGAATAACAAGCAGATAATCTTGATAAGCCCTCCACTAAATAAAGTTTTATATTCCAACAGCTGTTTTTTCACAATGATAATAATTTAACACCTAATAGTTGAATAATCCCAAATATTTGTTCAGCTGCTTTTGAAGTATCTTAAACAGATTAACGTTACTCTGAACCTTTGTGGTTGCAACACTAGATATCACCATTATAACCTAACGTGGATGCTATTAACATTAACGTTTAATGGACTGCAGATGAAGGATTTGGTTCAGGATTTGGAAACATTTACTTAAAAACTGAAACCAGCCAGATTTCTCCTGGTGACAGTGAGCCACACGAATGAAACAGAGATTCTGCAAGGCTTTTCTTGAAACAGGAAGGGGTAAGGGGCCTGCATCATTCAGGAAGACTGTCCTTTCCAGAGCCTCCCTGCCAGGAGCCCCAGTCTCCCCCCTTATTGTACCTGCTCCGCTCCCACCATGCTGATAGGCTTGCACCTGAACAAGTGGTTGATGAACTTCGGAATAAAAGAGCTGCGAGGGCAAGAGAAAACCGTAAAATAAGGGAACGGTATTAGAAAAAGTCTTCTAAAAAAAACAATGTGCTAGCGTCTCAAAAAGGAAACCGAGATACTCACTTGGCAAACTTGATGCAAAACTGGGTGAAGTACTTGCGTGTGGACGCCAGGTTGTCTCTGATGACGGGGACGTTCTGTTTGATGTGCATGATGACGGAGGTGACATAGGGGCTCTGGTCCCCTACGTGCTCCACGTTCTGCCACGGCATCTGGTCACAGTGCAGAACAGTCTCAATTAAAAGATATCCTAGGAAAAGCCTTTTTGTTAAAACCTTTGAAGCAAAGCACTGGCAATGGCCACAAATGACTGCTAATGGATCTCTGTTGGGCTGACAGTGTTTCAAAATGAGTGATCAGGCATAGGGCCTGAAGGATGTCTGTAATCTAGATAGCAATTGCAATTCAGTACCTGTACAGTCAGCCAGACAGGTATGCAGATATTTTAAAAATGCAATTTATAGAACATCTCTCTGACATGATAAGAAACTGCCGAATAACTGGCAGACAATCATGATAAACATTCTACTAAAAAAGTTTTATATTATATAATGGCCAAAAATGACTGTTAAATGGGCTTGTGTCTTATTAATCAGAAACACCAACTTCTACCAGCATGCAAATTCTAGGTCATTACAATGACAGTGCCAGGCAACAAGAGAAGCTCTCTACAGTGACCTACCTTGCTCATGGCGGAGAGAGCAGGGTCACAGGCTGCGTCCAGGTCCTGGACAAGGAGCTGGATACTGTTTGATATCACACTATGAAACATAACACACATGACTATTCTTGTTAATATTTCCTCTTTTTTTAACACCCTGATGTATCTTATCCGCTTCAAATCCACGTGCCTCCTACACTCATCAGACAAAATGATGCAAAAAAAGGCTATATTTTGCAACATACGGCAAAAACAGACTATATTACGTTTCTTCCTCAGAAGTGCCATCGACAGCACCCTGCCCACATCCTGGATATGGAACAGCATCAGAGCCGACGGAGAATGGATGAGGCGAACTTTACGTGCTGAAGGTGTCCATCTCCCCCGTCAAGTTAATCCTCTCTGCGAGGCTCTTGTCAACTTTCTCCTTCAGCTTCTCTTCAAGCTAGGGGGGACAAAACATGAAAATTAGGGCTGAGGGGCATTCGGATCTTGCTCTGCCCAGGAAGTTCTTTCCTGCAGAGCGTGCCAGTTTGCCAGGAGACCGTGCCACTGCGTGCTGACCTGCTGCGTGGTGGCCAGGCAGTACTCGGCGGTGCTGAGGATGCTGCAGATCAGGCACAGCTCCTCCACGGTGAACTTGGCCACCTCTGAGCCCTCCTTCTCCTTCAGCAGACTGCTGATGGTCAGACCCCCACTGCTACTGCTCGTCCTACACAATGATAAAGAGCAGACACAGCTCACAGCTGCTCGCAGCACAAGAGGCTCTGCAAGCTTTGGAATCCCAACCATATAACCACAGCAAGACCAGTAAGCTTTTAATTTTTTTTTCGGCGCTACTTAACTTATTTAAAGGATTTATAAAATACAAAATTTACAAAGCACAATATCCAATGTTATAGCTACCTTCTGATATTATCAGTGTTTTTCTATACATAATGTTAGAAAAAATCCTGCAGCATACTGTTATTGTGTACGTAACAGTAGGCTGAAAACTACTGTCAGTAGTTACCCAAAGTTCAATCATTGTACAAAATCTTTATAGCTTTATAAACTGCCAAGTGGACTTAACTAAAATTCAATGGATAATGGTTATAACAGGCATTACACTGCAGTGACTCTTCCGTTTATCATGTTCCAAAGTGTGACGTAAACCGTAATCTGCTGTAGCTCTTAGTTCACACACAGTCACCAGCACTACGTCTGTAAAAATACCCAGTCATTAAAAACAGAGGCAAACTAAACAGATACTTTAAAAGAAAAATTTGAAAGCACATCTTTAATCAACCACATAGTTCCTTTTGCTTTCTAGGTAAGCGAGATCACAGGAAGTGTCCCATCACATCAGGTGGTACAGCGCTCACTTGGGCAGGTTCCCGGAGAGGATCTTCCAAGCATACTCGCGGAGGTACTTCTGGAAGATAGTGGACAGAGCGATCATGGGCTCCCCTGTGCTCAGCTGGGAGCACTGCACCATGCACTTCTTGTAGTAGACAAACAGGTCTGCACAGCTGGGCAGTACGGCCCCCCCCTCCTCGGAGTTCACTTTCGGGGGGCCCTGCGCGCGGAAATCTGCTACAAACCGGTCGATCAGCTCCCCCAAGTTTCTGAAATACACACAATACAGAGGAAACCACAGAAGGTGAAAAGGAGCAGTAATAATGAAGGGAGAGGCTGTAGTACACAGTGCCATCCAAAGAGAAGGAACAAAGTGAAATTGTCGAGTTTCCTCACCAACTTTTGTGTACTAATCAGGTCATCCAAGTCCACCTGAAGTCAAAATGTCTGGTAGAGCTCTGGTAATATAATCTGTTTTGTAACTTAATTATATTATCTTAGAGAAAATGCTACTCTGTTTAATTCTACTAGATTTTGTGGTAGTAACTTTGGAAGCAGCATAAAATAAGATGGAGATAATGAAAAACTGTGCAGTCCCTTTGAACAGGGAAAGCTTTTTACAGCATTTTACAGCTGGAACAAGATCTTTTTCTGTTCTGCTCATGGACAGACGACAAACTGAACAATGAGAACAGATCATCCAGGACAGGCCCAGGAATTAGATTCCTGGTCTGAAGCAGAGGCAGGGACCGAAAAACTGCATCTCTCATGCTCAGCTACTTCCAGCCCACAGATAATTGGAAAATCCTAAATTATCCCCCCAACCCAAATGCTCTCTCCCTCCTTCACAAATCTTGCAGCGGAGCACTAGAGATTGTGGGAAGAGGCGCAATCTGCTGATGAGGCACTTTTCAGTCAGTCTGCAGCTTCTGTGGTCATGCAACTAATGGGAAACATTTCTACTTCAGTGTACAAACAGAGAGTGAGACCAATTTTTGGATGGAGAAAGCACAGCTAAGGGCCACAAAGGCCTCCGCGCATCAGTCCATACACTGTTGTTTACAACCCTGTGTGAGCCTTTTCTTGACCTGCTTAGAATCATGACTAACTTCTTGAATATTCATCCCATGCTTGAGGTGAGTGAGTGCCGCCTTCTTTATTTCCTGCACTGAATGGCTGACTCAGTTTCACTGTTATTTGTATAAACATCAAAGTGATCAAGAAGACCATGCTCAATTAGTGTCCTAAGATGATGATTGGCTGTCAGACCCTTCTTGGATTTCATCAGAAGATGCTATTCCTCCCAGACAAAAAAGAAGCATGCGTCACCAGGAGTTTTTCCCGGTAAAATCACTTAATTTGAGGAAACACAGGGGTCAGTGCAACACTTTTTGTGGATCCCCAAAGAAAACCGAAAACCCTTCCCAATCTGAAGGAAAATAATATTTTGTTTGGTACTGTTTTGCTATTTTAGCTGTGTGCTTCTGCTCCTTTGCTTCAGGTCAGCATGTTCCCGTGTTTCCCAGCATGTGACTCACTTATCCTGGGACTCGATGTAGACGTAGAGGTGTGGTTCAAAGCACTTGGACACAATGCCGTGGAAAGGGTTGTCTGGGGCCTTAGGCTTCTTCGGCTGAGAAGAGGAAAATTTTGGTCATTTACGCCATGGAAAATACCACTGTGTTTATCTTTTAACAGGATCTCTTACAAGCAGTTAAAGAACAAAACTCCCCCTGAGATGTAAACATTGAATCCACTGCTTTTTAAACATATGCTTATGACAGGAAAGCAGACAAGATCTGCTTTAAAAGATTAGCGCTGCGCTGGTCTTGACATCACGACGGACAGGGTTTTTCATGCAAGGTCTCGGTCCCTTTAATAAAAGATGCTTTAATGAAAAGGAGTATAATGGCAGGAGAACAGCTGAAGAAGGAGAGGCACAGGCTCAGGGCTTCAGTCACTCAAGTTGGAATGTGTGACAGTGCGATTCCGCGAGAAAAATGAAAAACAAAATGACTCCCACATTGCGACGCTTTGAAATGAAAGTGCTTTCAAAGATGAAAGCATGCTCACAGGCTCGACACCAGCAGAGCAGCGGCAGACAGTACAGGGGGAACACCCCCGACACAAGTCACGGGTGGATCGGACTCACCCTCTCGAGCTCTTCTTCCTTCTCCAGAACCGAGTCCTCACTGCCTGGCTCGTCCTCCAGAAAAGGGTTCGTGGAGGGTGGGGGCGGCTCTGGCTTTTTCTGGAAAAAGAACAGCGATAACCCCATTCCCAACACGTTCCAGAGAAATCCGAGAGGTTGTTCGGTTTTTAGCAGGTTTATATCAGGTCTGCAAAAGTGATTGTTTCCTGACAGATTTAAAAACAAGCATGAATTGCACGTAAACCCTCCACTGGTCCCTGGGCCTGACCCTCACCCCTGCTGCGTCGCTCAGAGTGCTGCCCGTGAAGCGCTTGGCCAGAAGCCCCTCGAAGTTGGTCGTTCTCTGGATCGCGAAGAGCAGCAGCTTCACCTCGATCTCCCGGGCTCTTGCTCGCATGAGCTTGGCCAGCTCGGTCCTGGTGAACAGACCCAGACGCCAGTCAGAACCGAGCTTTCTACATGCGTAAACGGCACAGCAGATGAGCAGTCCGGTCCATACAAGCATAAAAAGAGATTCAGTTGTTTAAAAGCCACCAAGCCTTCAGTTTCTACTGTCAATATCTAAACTGTTTGGTCACCTTCATTAGTACAAATTTAACAGGCCATCATAAAGGAAATGACAGTTATCTGCTTCCAAGAAAATGAGTAGAACTTACTTCACAGACAACAATCTTAGCAAAAAAATATGTAAAAAACTTTTTTTTTTTTACATTGAAGCAAAGCCTAATTTGGTAGACTTTAACTTGGAGAAAAGTACTGGTTCTTATGCACTGATCTAGATCTATACAATGTGCACATTTGTTCACAGCATAGGCAAAAATCTATAAGAAATATGACAACTTCTTGAACAAAGACATGGTAGCTTCAACCCTACGGCTGGGTAGCTTGTTCTAGACTCCCACAACCCTTTGTGTACAGAGGTTCTTCCTGTTCTCAGTTTATATTCACTTACCCATGGCTGTAAAAAACATAATGTACTGTTGAGCATGGATCAAAAAACAGAAAACTTACAAACTTCTCCTGATGTTGGGGAGATTAAGGACCGGATTTTGGCTGATCTACTTAGTGTTTTCCTGCTATTGAAATTGTGTTGATTATTCCACAGGGGGGAGCTCATTAAGTTGGCTACAAAAGTTCGCGGAAGCAAAGTAAGAGGGGTTCCCAGAAATAAACAAACTCCTAAAAGAAAATACTAGAGGGATTTTTGAGTCAGGTTTAAACTTCATGCTTCTGAAAGCAGAAAGAATTAAGAGAACAACAGCTACAATGTTACTTTTTATTTATAATAATGCAATTTTTTTTTAATGGAAAAACATATTAAAATGACTTAAGTCTATGACAAGTGCTGCTATCTATTTATTTCGGCTAATGAAAATCCTGAAATTAGGAGTACAGGATATATTTACCATATAAAAGTCTAAATCTCTTTACAAATACTACTGCCTGTAAATACCTCGACAATCCAAGTATGCAGTAGGTACGGAGATGATGCAGTTATGACATGGACAGTACAATGCCCACATTTTCTTTAAAGAAACACAACCCCACAAACACAAGTGAGGGGAAACCTGTATCCCCCCTTTCCTCTCGGAGTCATTGCGCCAGGCAGCCAGAGGGAGCGAAGGGCACACCTTGTGATGTGGCAGAATTCCACAGCAACGCGCTCCGTCATGCACCACTCCGCCGGGAACATCTTCCCGTACTTCTCCTCGTAGTCCACCAGCTGCCGCTTGATCCAGGCGTAGCGCCGGTCAATTTTGTCCAGCCAGGCCACCTGGGGAGCCAACACGCACGTATGGACGTGGAACTCCTCCAACGTTTCGTTCACTACAGCATTGCATTTACACCAACATGCCACGTTTACAGCCCAGGCACATGGCCCAGAGTGTCCGTGTGCTGGCAGGAGGGGTTTTCTAATTGATCCTGCTGCCATCTTGGTGCAGTTTGACAGATCACAGACCTGTAGGTGCTGTGCTGCTGAAATCAGTAGTGTTTGTATGGTGACTGAAAGAAATGTCTTGTTAAGGACATTTCTCACTGCTGCCACTGAAGTACACACACCACTGGATAGGCTGAGCATCACGAACTTGAAACAAAGCTTTTGTCTCCCAACACTTTCTTGCTTTTACATCGGACTCTGACCCTACAGTCAGACAGGGCACCTCTGAAGAACCACAAAAGCAGGATGATTAAAATATGATGAAAAGGATGATCAAAACAAAATCCGTAAAGCCCCCAAGGGCTAAAACAGCCACATCCTTCAGCTGGCCCTACTTGAGACTTACATCTTGGTTTTCCTGGAACAACACAAGATACTCGGAGAGATGCTGCCTGATAAACTTCTTGATGATTTCCTGTCTGATTCGGGGGTCGAGAACATTCGCCACCAGACAGGCATCCCGCAGGACGTTACTGGGACCCCCGGGCCTCTGGAAAGAATTGGACAAAGATGAGCAGTGTTACACATTTCCATATCAAGACTGTTGATCCCAGCATTCCTGCGCATACAGGATGCATCAAAATAGAAATACATCTTCTGAAATAAGCTTACATATGATATAATGACTACAGATAATGACGATTAAGTGAAATGTGATCATAATTGATCGTGCCAATGAAAAGATGTATTGCCACATGAAGTCTTGTCTAAGCGTGAAGATAAAAAAAAAAATCTTCACCTTTGACCCTTGGGAAGGGAAAGCTTCTTCAAAATCGGCGAGTATCTGAGTTCCAAGTTCACTCTGTGCAGCTTTCACTCTGTGTGTTCATTAAAAAAATGAGACACGAGGGTCAGTACAATCCAGTGTTGCATAGGTTCAATTATCTCGTGTATTTTCAATACTTAAATGATGTGAACATTACTCCCATAACACCAGCTGACTTTCATCTGGAACCCAAAATGAATAAGAACACTACACAGAAAAAAAAACAGTATACCTGGGGCTTAGACAGAAACCAAAACTTTTGTTTTCCACACTATCAGGAGTTCTCAAAATGGAATAACAGACCAAGCAGAATAGAAAAAAAAAACCTTGACACCTTTTTCAGAGAGCCTGGCGTTCCAACATGTTTTTCCCACATACTTCACGATAACACACAGAATCCCAACACTACTTTCAATCAGTCCGCAAGGTTCATACACTGGCCTGGCATCAAAGCCAGCAGTCCGGACTGAGACAAGCAAGGAGTGAAGAAGACAGGCAGACAGCTCCACAAATACTCTGCCCAGCACAGCTGAGCCGGATGCAGGCACAGAGTCAAGGGCAGGCCTGGAAACAAATGGCCTTTTATAATGTGGCTTTTGACACTTCTCTACTAAAATCTTCCCCTGAGCGATGGGCAGGGAGAGAAAACAAAGATCAATTATTCGTCTTTGAAGAACTACATGGATATGGATGGAAGTATTCAAACACTACAAATGTAAAAAGAAAATTTTGTAGCTTTTGGCAACTGCACTGTGATTTGCCGAATATATCAACAAATGCAGAAATTATCATTAAAAACCAGAGGATCATGCATCCCACTTTTAACAAAATCTGCAAATCAGAAGATCATGCACTTTAAAAACAGTGTCTACAAAGCTTTCTAATACCAATTAAAAATTAGAAACTTTTTTTTTTAATTGCAAATGGACATTTTGCATCATAACAGCACTGTACATGCATGTTAAGGGCTGTGCAGGCAGATACAATTGCAAGATATCTTTATCCCTTTATTCTAGTTTGACAGCAAAAATCACTTTGAAGACAATCAGAGCTGCAGCGTGCCGAGAGCCATAATTTATGCTGAGAAGGGGAAATAAAAAAGGTTTTGCATACTGTGGCAATTGCTTTTTTAGCTTAGCTTTAGACTGAATTTCTTAAACAAAGCAAAGGATCTTTAAGGAAACACAAGTCCGGATCTTTGGAAATCAGGCTTCTCCCCACCCATTCCTATAGGAAACAGATGCTATCTGCAGTTACATGACACCACATACAGCACTAGACCATGCACAGTAAAACCAATGCCACATGTGTATTCAATTTCCAGCTACTTAACCAAGCCAGGAGTTTTGCTTGGTGTGGCATCTCAATGCACCCCCCAAGACAACAAGTGCCTTTCAGAGTAAACAAGAAACCACACTGGCTTTGCTCTAAGCTTCTGAAAGACACAAGACGATCCTCTGAGCAGCCCGCTGTGAAGAAGAGGCTGAAACAGCCCCTTTCATTTTAGCTGTTTCGAAGACAAAATACTAGGTCCAAACTCCAGTATTTTCCAAGGCTTTTTTTTCCACAGCCCACCACCAAAGCTAAACGTTTGTCAGTGGTGTGTCAGAACCTATAACTTAGCAGACTTTATTTATTACTGTGATTATACAGATTGACCAGGACAGTGTTCTTCAATTATTCAAACAAATTCATTTTACAATCCTCCAAGTGCTACAGCTGAGAGTTATCACCATCACAGTACACTGGCATTCTTAAACCTAGATCAAATCATTTCTAAAAGCATTTTTCCTCCATAATCAAGAAGAGGAATTTTTGGATTTTTGGATTCAATGCACCCAGCCAAAAAATTCAGAACACCACCTACAGTAAGACCATTTCTTAAACAGCTGAGTCGCAGTTTCATCGTGCATGGCTGAAAAGCTAGCAGGGCTGTTCCAATGTATCACTGAGGCAGAGCAAAGACATCCTACACAACATACCACCCACCTGTAGGACTCCAGTGAGTATCATTCAGGATGTGGTGCCCCTTCAGAGATAACACAGAAACAAACAGCACTGTGTCTGTGTGGGGGGAGGTTCTGGGCCAGTTCTCACCATCTGCAGCCCTTGATAAACACTGGCTGGTGGAAGACTGAGGGACCGGTGCTAGTTTCCCACACGCCATGTCCCCCAACCATTAACAGGTAGGCTTTATGCCCAATTCCCCCCACAAAAAAATAAGTGGAGACACTCAAATCACTAAAATGCAGGGCCCGAGATCACAGGAAATGTATTTTCTGTCAGCCATTTGGCAACATCATATTTGTGGATGGATGCTTCCTTTAATGGTTGAAGTGTTAAGTGTTGTTAAGTCAAAAGCCCTTTATTGCTTGAAGTTAAAAACAAACAACTTGGGGTACTGTGGGAAGGGCTTGCTTGGCTGCAATCTGGGACTTAATAGGCCAAGATGGGCTTCAAAGCAAGACCATCGAACACCGTTTAAAGAGCTTTCTTTTCTGTGTTCACACAAAACAGAGAAGATTTTGCATGTCACATGCTGCATCAAGAAAAACAATTCAAAATGGAAAAGACCTGGTCCTGTTTGCCATTTTTTTTAGCAAATTGCTCAGAAAGGGCTTTGTTACCAGGAAATGTGCACATGCTTCTATAACCAGAGTGGTGTAATGGATGGGCTGTGCCTGCTGTTGGGTAACAGTTTCAGTGTTCAGTACAGGACGCGTGAGGTGCTGCTGATTGGAGTACCTTTCAGAGAGCTGGCGGATCTGAGGGATGCCCATGTACTTCTGGAAATGCTCCAGCACATTGACCACGCCCTGGAGCAGATTGGCAACCTCTCCATACTGCCGTCTCCGGGTCATAGCCCTACCATGGAGAGAGAAAGGGATGACAAAGCAGAACAATCGGGCCAAACATCAAGCACAGGAGCCCAACTCAAGATGAACTGTTTGCAGCAGTGACAGCTGACATGCGCTTATGAAAGACATGCATACAAAACATGTGAACCAACATTTCCCTTGATTTTGGCTTTTTATTTCATTTTGTGTTTTACTCAGGGTGAACCACAGAGTCTCCCACAGAGGGGTGGATTATAAAAAAAAAAGTACCACTCCCCCCTGGGAGGAACACATAAAGGTTCATTACCACCACTCTATGTCTACACCCCTGTGTTGGAATATTTGCCATTGACTACATTGTCACTGGAGCCTTGAATCTATAAGCTGCTAGTAAGAAATAAACTAGACGGGCTGTGTAACCTCCGCCAGTTTGTCACCTGCCATAAGTTCTTACTAAGCCCTCCTTCTGAGCTTTATCATTGACACATTATCACCTCGTCACTCCAGACTACGGTGATGCATGACAGAAGGGCACCTACTCGAGGGAATCCACCCCACCAGCCAGCATGTGCAAGTGGTTGAGCGTGGTGATGGAGGTGGTCAGGTGGCGCTTGGCGTGATCCAGCTGTTTGATGTCCCGGGTGATTTCTTTAACCTGAGAAAGACAGACCCAAAGACTGCGGTCACGACTAACACAAAACTCTCCGGGTGGAGGCAGCTTATTGACCCGATGTCCAATTCCACATGCCTCCGGTCAATACTGTTTCCACAAACAGGACTCGTACAGCAGACAGCAATACTGAAGTTCACCTGTATTATACTGCAGGGCAAACACGAAGAATGCTATAGAGAAAACTGCATTATTACAATGAGTTCTTATTTCATCTACTTATTTGAACAAAGGTGGGGTGCTGAAAGCAGCAGGAAACAAAAATCCTGAAGGGTGCACAGTATTGAAAAGAGAAAGCAACTCTTTTTCTGATCCCAGATTAATTTGTAGTTCACTTTCCTTTGTGGCACTGCAGGGGTTTGCATTCTCTGGGATTGAAGCTCATGACTATTCTTTCATTGCTTTCAGATACATGGAGTTGGAACCTTGTAAGAATTTTGTCGATTTCCTCTATATTTTGTTTAAAGGGAGGAGGAAAAACAGCTAAACAGTGCAAAAGACGTCCTCCCTCCCCCCTCCAGGCCACACAGAAGAGTTTCCAGAGAAACACTCGTTTAGTGGCCTATCATTAAGAAGAGTTTACTGCATTGCTTCTGTATATTTTTACACACCATTTGCTCCGACTTCTCCGCCTTGTCCTTGATGTCCTTGATTTTGCCAAAGAGCTGCTGGATGGCTTTCTGGGCCTCCTCGAGTGCCTGGGAGTGCAGAGGAAGTTTGGGATTAGTGATCTGCAACTGGGGCCCACGTGGAAATATTTCTCCTCAGAAATGATAAATCTCAGGAGGAGCACTGACAAAAACGGCAATGCTTTTACTCAATAGTGAGCCGTCCAGCCCCCATAAAAAAAGAAAAAATAACAATGACTACTTAGAAATAAAACTACAGTGTGTTTTACAGTGTACAACTACTGTGCTTGCCACTTGAAATATTGCCCATGTACAGTACTTTATCAGTTAACTATTATGCTTATCCACGATTTCACAACCTATTCCAGGCAGTAAGATATATTGCCGATACTGCTACAAACATTTTATTTTCACCATTGTTTCTGCAAACCAAACTCGATGCTTGCATTTCTTTCACTCGTACAGCATTTGACAGTGAAACACCGAGTTCCAAATTAACAAGTTTGACCTTTTCTGAAGGTTTTCTGAATATCCTCACAGTATTCAGAATGTCTGCAAATAGCGGACGTATAAAGGCAGACAGGAACAGCTTGATGGAAACTTAACCACTCGTTCGCTCTGGGAGGGGCTTGGCTTTGTGAACAGCTGCACAAAGGTAGTTCATCCCCGCCACATGTTCATCCCCTTGATTGGTTAGTGTCACTAACTCCTCTGCTCAAGAATAAATTCTTACCAGTCTGTTATCACTGTGGCACTTTTGTATAAACTGGCAATGAAGCTTTTTAATTATACAGAAAGAGTAAACAAGAAAGTCAAAGGCAGAAAATAGATACCTTCTGTCTTTCAAAGAAACCAAATGAAAAAGCGTGTTACCAACCAGATACTTTTAACTTTCTATTCAGATTTGATGGCAAAGTATCTGAAGTGGTGACAGGAGATAAATACAAGGACACCCCACCCCTTCCAAAAAAAGGGGTTATTAAAAGATAAATTTATCCTTCGCAAAAGGACAGATGGGACGGGCCCATTCACAGCTAGTCTGTGTGGTGCCAGGCTAATGAACACGGCACAGCCCCGAAGAGCACAGTATACTCAGAGGGGGTTGGCTTCTTTCCTTTTCTCCTTTAGAGACAGCAGGAATGCTAACAGCTGGCACCAGCTGCCCTTGGAATTTGCCACTTTTACAAGGGTTTGTAAAAATGTGTGTGTGGGTTCGTGGGGAAGATTTTAGGTGCTTTTTTTCTGCTCAGGATCGACAACGGGAACTCTGTTCAGACGAGGTCAAGGTTAAAAAACACATTCCTTGACCATACTTCTCCACAGAAACACCAATGCAGCGACAGCACTGCAGTCTGCCTAATGACGAGTGGACAGCACATTCCTGTTGCTGATGCTGAAGCAGGAGGCAGATGAGCTATGGTCAGGATTCCCTAAAGTGCTCTGCACAACTGGTACAGGAATGGGAACAGCCAGCCAGGGCTCTCTTGATTTTTATACAACTTCAATCTTGCAATTTGCTGGGTATCTGCAATCTTGCAAGATGTTGTTAAGAAGCCTGCTGTCCCTCCATATGATGCAAACTCTGCTTAGGTAGTACAGAACTTCAAGTGTATAAAATTCTGAATGACTCTGCAGATGCGCATGTTGAAAGAACCCTCTATGCATCTCGCCTTTTCTGTAGCAGGTACAGGAGATTACACCAGAGAATCAAGTCTTAAAACAATTGGTGATTCCAAAAAGTGTGTATACCTGTTATATATCCTGTGTATATATATTTTATTTACAAATTCATAACAAATGTCAAACTACCATGTTTTAAACGTTTTACAACTGTACTACAGAGATAAGCTTGTCAATGCAAGATCAAGGTCAATGCAAAATCATTTACAAAGGTAAATGGAAGGGACCAGGCAACTTTTGGGCCAACAAATAAATCCCTATGCATGCCTGCCATTTCTACCAGTGCCTGACTCTGAGTCATATCAAATGGAAGAACTCCTTCTCTCGTTTCCTGTGTGAACTATAATCACCCAGTAAACACAGCATGAAAACCAACCTGCTGGCTTGTGCCTCTACTTTATCATCTTTGTGTTTTCCCCTGACATTGTCCGTGCCTACTTTCTTAAAACAAAATGGACAGCTGCCGTGCATGTGGTGTTTATTTGTGGATTCAGGATATTTCCACCCACAGACACTAGGGAAGCAGTTCCAGATTCCTTAAAAATACAAGACACCGAAGAGCCACATGACATGCTATCTGGGTTATGTGCACCTCAGCATCTGGAGAAAGAAGACTGTCAACAGATTCAGATATTTTAAAGAAAACAAATGGTTGTATAGGTTCTGACTTCTAAACTCGATAGCTAAAACATAATTCTGCATATTTAATAAGGGATTCCACAGCAAAAAAAAAAATCTGCAGGTCAAATGCTGAGCACTGACTAAACTATATTAAAGGCATATCGTATTTTGAAAAGTGCTAAAATCACTAAATTTCAAACTTTCAGATGATGCTATGAGCATGCTAGGCCAGTGCAGCAAAAACTGTCACGTCAGGTGTACTCATTTTCACCCTTCACAATCTCCCTGGCTTAACCAGAAACAGAAAGTAAAAATACACTAGAACTGCAGAACCAATGTCACGCTTTGTAGATCGTCCAAGGCCAACATGGAGCAGAACTGCAGTTCACTAACAGGGGGAGGAAAGTATAAGGTATATGAAAAAAAGAAAAACCACACAAGTAGCAAAGTTTCCTTCCCTTATTTATTTCAAGTTTCAAATATTTACATTACGTTCATTGGGAAGGTTTTCAGCAAAGTCCTAACGAGTAGCTCGGGATGCCAAAAACTACATTAAAGGGCAGGATCCTAACTGCCTGAATGGAAGTCAAATAAAATCACACAGCAAACTTTCCTCAACAGGCACATGGCATTAAGGTATATTTCATTCAATTAAGAGGCAAAAAAATCAATATTTGCTTCGCTACTGATCTGTGTGTGCATGTTTATGTCACAGTGCTGACATGCAAGAATCATCACTGTACAGTTCTAACATAAAAGCACTCAGTCAGCAAGAACAAAACTTAAACTAGCTGTAGACTTACATCTTCACTTAACCCTTGGTTAATTGGTAACAAATGTGCAGACTCCTGCTCTCTTCAGTGTTTGTTACCACCCAAACTATTTACCAACTCTCAAAAACTGGCTAAGCACTGGGTAAGCACAGCCTGCCTAGACTTTTAGGCAAAGCTTTGTTTATGATTAGATTAATAAAGAAACAAGACTACTTAATCTAATCTCAGATTATTTAAGGGCACAACAAACCCACTGGGAATAATGCTGTTTTTAAACTAGAAACTGCCTACATCAGACAGTGAAAAAAGGATTCAAGTCTGGGTTATGGTACTAGCCGACTAGGACTGGATTCCCCAAGAACTAGTGCACAACTGACTGAGCGCTGCCAGTGGTAAAGTGGGATTGGTCAGAATGGATTGTCTTGGCTGCACAGCGACCCCTGCACCTTGCCTGGCACTTGTAGTGCACTCAGTGAGGGACATGCCTCTGCTCCACTCAGCTCCACAGGGGCAGGGCCCCTTGTGGTGTGTTAAAAGGCGAGTGGCTCAAAGGGGAATGGTGCGGAAGATTGTTTAAACTTCCTCATTCTGCCTGGGTGCGGTCATGGGGTTTATGCAGTAGTTGTTACCCAAGATGTGCAACAACACACAGCTGGCTACTCCATATACACAGGACACGTAACAAAAAAGGAATTACTCCGGGCAACTGGACAAAAAAAAAACATATGTATTTAATAATTTATAGCTTTAGATTTTTTTATTGTCTGAGACCTGGGAAAAAGATCTAATTAAAGAAACAGTTTAATTACAGTCATTAAGATGTCATACAGAAGGAGAATCATAAGGTTGTGTGACACCTGAGAGCCATAAATGCAAAGCTCCTGGCATAAAACCAACCTGCACGTACGTACTGGAGAAGAATCAGTCCATTCATAAGCTGGCTAATCAATAAAGCTGGAAAAAAGCTGACAAAAAAAGGAAAAGCTGTAATAGACTGAGAGGGACCAAGCTGGCCACTGGGGACTGATCAGGCATGCTGCTTCCTGGCTTGTACAACAGAATGAGTCGCATTATCCTTAACATGATGTGTCTGAAATTGCCCTAATGTGGACTGATGACTCAAACATTTTCCGAAAATGTGGCATGTGGTTGTCTGTTTTCAAACTTTTTCTGGGCTGAGCTCTTTGAAGCAGATCTCCATACCCCCCCCCTCCGCCCACTCAACCTCCATCAAACCCCTCAGGCCCCCAGCAGCTAAAAATATCAATTTTGCCAGATCCAAGACTGTATCCCTCGCTGCCTCGGAAGCAGATGTCTGGGTAAAACCCTCCCCAATAAATACTACACAGACTAAACAAAGGGGAAATTGTCTTTTTTTTCCCCACTAACCCCCACCCCACCAACCCTAGTCTCCCCATCTGTAATCCACACCTCCGGACATTTCCATCTGCAAAAGGGATTTTCCTCTGCACACAATGGAAAAGTCTCTGTGGGCCCAGCGATGGGGCCTGGAGCCCTGTCGCAGTAGAAGGAGCACATTCTGGTAAGGCAGATTTTCCACATTCCATGGGATAATGGGCAAGGCCCAGCCATAATGCACTGACACTCTCATGCCTTTCCCTTCTGGTGCCCTACCCCTGTTTTCTGGGTAATGCAAGCATCAGCTTTCACCAAAATATTGCAATACGACTGGAAATGCGTGTGGTAAGCCAAGGATTCCTGGTATGACAGCTGGAAAATGACCACAATCCCAACCATTAGAATCACGATTTTGAAAACTACTGGAAACAGTAGTGTAGTGTAGATAAGAGCAGAAAATAACTCACTTCTTCCACCAACGCAGAAAAGATTTCAATGCTATGAACGTGATTCACTGTTTGAACTAGGATTACTTACTCAGTTTCTTTTTGGACCTGCCTTGAGTGTTTTTGGGGGCTTGTGTTTGGTGTAGATTAAGTGTTAGGCTCGACTAGAGCCAGAACCCGTTAGTGGACTCCCTATCAAAGTTTCAGGTAAAGATCAACCTGAACCTCAGCTCTCTAAATTTAAGCAGTTATCACACAACTGTAACACTGGCTTTGCTCACACCTTTACGGTTGTCCTAAACCTAGCTCAACCCGAACCTAAGCAAAAAATACCAATAATAGCATAAAACAAAAAACATATTCAAATAATATTACAATCCACTGTTATTTAAGGCTTACCATCCCAAAAACAAATCTTAGTCACTTATGACTAAGTAAAAAATAACACCTCATTATTAGGGAGAAGGACAGGATAGTAATGCTGATTTTTTAGGCGCTGCCTGGAAGTTGGAAAGAGTGTAGCAGTGGGAGACAGCAAGTGTGAGTGGGGTAGTATAATGCAACACAAACAACCTGGGAAGTTTGAATGTTTTTAGTGAGTTTTTAGCGAGTGTCAAGTCAAGACACCAGTCCTTACAGCAAAGTCAAGTCTCAAGTAATTTCACTAAAGTCTCAAGTGAAACAAATAGAGACTCATGTCTAAATCTTAACCCAAATCTCAAATCACAAGTAAAAACTCTGAATCCACTCATGGTATTATGGATGGATTCTGCAGGGACACAACTTGAACAAAAAACGATGCTGAAAGGTTTGTAATCCAAACCTAATTTGATGATCAGCATTTATAATGATGGCCTGGCGCTATCAAATTTATACAGTAGTACAGTATACTGGAGCAACTGGAGTATAGCACCCGCCCATGATGGGATTTAAAACTGTGACCCACTGGTCCAGAACACTAACCACTACCACTAGACAAGACCCTGCTTGGATGGAACCCTTCAATAACCCCCACTGAGAGCAAGCACAGCTACCTTACTATGAGATGCAGTGAAAGAGTGATTGCGCCAGTCCCACTGTCCTGCATATCTGGACACTATATTTATTACAGACAGAGTCTGGAAGATCCAGCTCCTGACAAAGAGTTAAAAATCTGTGCAAATCTCCTTCTGTACCACCAAGTAATCAATCAACCAATAACTATTAACCAAGAAATGGGTACACACCAGTCTGCCATCTTGCCCCACATTGGTCTGGCCTCTCACCACCGTTCTGATGTTGTCATCCAGGCGTCTGCGACACACAATTCAAAACTTCAATTCACTTTTTCAACAACAAACTGCCGAATGTCTCGCAACCTGTATAGTGAGGTACTGATTGGTAGTGCTCTGCTTACCTGATTTTCAAGCGAATTTTGTTCACCACATCATCTATGTTTGCCAAGGACTGTAAAACACAGCAAAGAGGCTTTTATAAACACACACGGGCACAGATCTGAAGAACTGCTCCCTGATCAAAACCCAGTACCCCAGGACAATTAACAGTGCATTAAATATTACAAGTGTTTGCCTTCTTTGAAGGCATAAACCAGAAATAAATTGTCCAACACTCTCAGAAGACGATTTACACTAGTGATGTTACAATTACAAAAAATACAGATTGAAACAAGCTAAATTAAAACTAAAAACTCCATGGGCTTGGTTCAGAAAAGACTCTTGTGCAAAAAGGTGCACCTTGTCCAACGATAAGCCTATTGTTATGATGCCATTGCATTTTGCATATTAAACATTTGTGAATAAAGTTCAGAATCTAACAGCAGTAAAATTTTATTTGGGAGCTAGTACTAAAAACATGCTCTCAAATGGAAACACTACCCTCTGGTGGAAAACTGCTAAAATCAACTCTTTCGAAACAGGATGGTCTACTCGAACAGGACCTGAGGTTTCTATTAATGTGTTCCTCTACTTCAAGGCCAATGAGCACCACAAAATGATATGCAATATCATCCTGATGCTTTATGGAGCCTTCTAAATTCCCTAATACTTAGAAATGTAAAGCTAAGCAATACCCACCAATGGAAACATAGGACTTATCTTATGAATCGATAAATGATTTTACTTTTTTCCTAGGGTTGTTGTTATCACAGTATTTCTTTGAGGGATGATTCATGCAGTCTACAATGGTAAACTACAATGGTAAACCATGCATGCTATATACAGTAATGCATTCAGCATGTAAATATGTGAACTATCTAAATGTGCATTCTCACTAATTTAAAAATGATTTAGTCCACTTGTCCTAGATTTCAGTTTCAATTAAGCATTCAATAAACAAATAAGTCTGCATCGGCCTGTGCACAGTGTGTATCAGGAATGTGGGTTAAGCACGACACACAGTATTGGGGAGAGGCAAAATATATATATATATCTAATATTGGAACAGTGTTCTAATGTTTTGTTAGTTGGATGGTTTAGAAGCCCTACCTGCTCAGTAGGAAACAGGGTGTTGATGTACTCCACAGCATTGAAATCTGCTCTGTCCAACGGGTCCTGACTGGGGAAAACCTAATAACAACCAAACAGTTGATTATGGACTATTAGCAACAACTGTACATCAAACTTCATTTACAAAAAACAGTGTGTCCGCTAAAACAAGCACAATACTACGGGTGTATGCTAATTAATGTGTTAGGATGTGTTTACAATGTCCAATTCAGTATATTTGCAAGAATTCCCAGCACATTCTCTGCAAAGGTCAGACTGATAAATTAAAAGCACCTTCTACACTGCTGCAATTATTTTGTTACAGCAATGCAAGTTAACTCTCGGATTTTTTAGTTACATTTTAAATACCAAGAATTAGGATCAAGAAATATTTCCCACATTTCAAAGGCGAGAAAAAAACGTTATCATAACATGTACCTGAGGTTAACAGCTGGAACCTGACTAAATGTGGTAGCTCGTCCTGCACTGTATACCGCAACACTAAATTTAAATAAATCCCAAACATTGAGCCAAATGCGTTTTGTTTACTGGCCCATGCACGATTATCAATAAGAATAATGGTTACCTGTTCTATAGCTAGCTGGACTTCGGGAGTGAGGTGTAAAATTGCCTCTAATTCGTCCGCAAATTCCAACTCCTCTTCCTCCATCGCGGAAAGCTCATAAGATCGATGTAATACTTCCTCAAACACGGGGCTTGTGGGATGTTGGAGGACAGCTCTCCACGGAAACCATAGAGTTCTGTTGATTTTTTTCTTGTTGCACTTTGTCTTAACACTTGACATTTTGCAGTTATTTTTCGTGAAAGCTTTGAACATGCATACAGTTTGTAAAAGAAAAAATATCTAGTGTTGCTTTCTAACTTAATTTAAAAAAAGCTTGCAGTACTTAAACTATCATACTGTACATTACGTTTTAAGTGCAGAAACCAATTATTTTCTTAAAGTGTAATTTCCGCTATTTAGTGACAATTTGTAACACTTCCACAAAGCTTTAATTTCTTGTAGTAACTCAAAATTTGAAAAACCTACAAATAGGTAGTATTTAACTTTATAAATGTAAACTCCTTACAACAGAGCTGAGTAGGATTTAAAAGTCTCTTGCAAGGCTGTGGCGCTTGCCAAATCTTACTCATTGAACATCGCGATTGATCACAATCCTGAATTGTCGTTATTATAGCTATGTACAGCATGGACTGAAACCTCACATACAAAAGAAGAAAATACGTCAATTTTGTATTCTGACAGAGAAATATTTTGATTAATTAGGAAAAAAATCAAAGATTAAAGTACAGTTCAGTTTATTCCAGTTTAATACACCCCTATCCATTGACTATACTCCTGTCCGTTTTGGACAAGTGCTTAGTTTAGTACCAGGTTGTAGTGAGCCATCACTGGCCAGGTTTCCAATTAATTGTGGAGGAGACCTAGAATGTCCTTTTCAAGCCCCTAAGATTCATTTAAAAAGGGTGAAGACCTCTCTCCTGGTCTCGCCCTGCACGTTTCCCTAATAACTCCAATTTGTTATCATTTCAATGTGTCAGGTGAGATGTTGGGAACAGTGAAAAAAATGGAAGAAGTAACAGGTATGTTGAATGCAAGTATCAGAAGTAAGACAAATGACAGAGGGCACCCATTTATTTACAAAAATATCGTCTACTGGGTATAATAAAGGCACACGACAGTTAAATCAAACACAACGCACAGCCACTAGCGTCTTACCTTACTTTTAAAGTTAGTGCAAAAATATAAATATGTCTCTCTGCTTATTTTATAGTTGCATCAAAAAACAGTTACAATTAGGTTTCTTACACAACAAATCATTTTCTTTTTTGGAGCTCATAGCATCTTGGTTTCAATAGTTCTGTTATAAAGATTGTTCACTGGTGTATTTTTGTTAACAAAAACCTGTCTGTGCCCCACTTTCCTGTTTTTAAGATGTAGCCTCTGCTTCCACCCATCGACACGTTTTCAGTCCGTCTGCCTGAGAGTTGAGGCACAAATCTCTTTTTAACATGTTTATTTGTAAGGGACATCAATGAGTCAAGTTAAGCAAGGGCTGTAATAATAAACAGCCTTTTGGGCTAAGAGAAAAATCAGGACTTCAGTTTTAAGATGAGGAGACAAAGCTTACACAGCTCAAATGTGTATTTAAAAAATAAAGCACATATAAATGTTTCTGCATGTAAAATAACTAAACACAATCATTACATATCTTTTAAAAAGTGAAAAAGATTCTTCTGCATTCTAAGTAGAACACAATGTAAAAATCTGGCATTGTAAACAGGAGAAAGAGATGGAGAACTTTTGCAAAGGTTTGTGTCTAAATGGATTTCTTGCCTCATGTCTGAGCAGTCTCTTACTGACAAGCTTTTTTCGCCACCCCTGTCCGATCCCTTAGCCTTCCATCTGTCATTTTCACCTGCATTTCCAGCCATTTTCATTTCTGTCCATATTTCAGAGCAAATCTAATTTCTTTCTGCAATGGGTTTGCGACGGCTGTCCCAGGAACAGTGGGCATCACCTGCAGTTTTCAAGTGTTTAAATCTGAAGTTCTCTGTCTTAATTACTTTTGTTAAACTGTGTTTCTAGGCTTATCTTGGCTACCATTGATCACACCAGCTGCTGAACAATCAACCTGTCTTAATATCATTCTTGTCTCTTCTCACAACTGTAATCCATGATGGAAGTCATCATGAGACACAGTCATCAGTGAGATCAAGGCAGGCTAAGAAAATAACAATTCATCAAAATTCCCAATTAGTGTACTGTCTCTATTTCTGGAAACAAGGTCAGTACTGTGACTGCCAGGCTGCTCAAACGTAAGACAGGGAATCTGGGAAACAGCAGAGAAAATGCTCTTTGTTGAAGAGGGACTGCATTCCCTGTTCTCGTTAAATGAAAGATCATCGTCGCACATCAGGCCACCTTCAGCCAGCTCAGGTCATCAGACCTTAAAGACAAGAAAAGACATGCAAAGTTTTACTAAACAATTACAATCTACATGACGCAAGAGAAGCAAAAAATATGATGTCATCATATATTTTTACAAGTACATGAAAGTTACTGACAGACAATCACGATATAATTCCATGTAGATGGCTTATTGAACGCATGAATGCTTGCCTTTTATTTGCGATTAACCTTTCAAAAAAGATTTTGCAACTCATAAAATTTTATAATACAGGAAAACAGTGAAATGTTCTATGACAAATATTTACAATTTTAAAAAAAACTTCCCTGCCAGGAAGTGCCAAGATCTTGCTAGATATGGATCCACCAGCGACAGGCAGGAATCCTTTATTAGATCTCTTATTCATTCATGCAAGGACACCTACAATACTCCTCACTCAGGCTTACACTAGAGCAACGTTGCTTGCAGGCTATGTGGGGGTCCCCATTCTGCCTGTCTTTCATTTCTAGACCATGGTAATGACACTGTCCATTCTCAAGGTATCAAGGAACTGTGGTGCCAGATACTAAACCCATTTGCATTTCACTCACGCAGCTTGTGTTTTTGTTATGGTCCTTCCTGCTGCCATCATTTCAGCCACCTGGGAAACGGCAGGGTCAAAGTTCAAGCTGGCCACAGCAACAACCTCATCATTCCTGTAATCAAGGGTGGAGATGTCAGCTGACTGTGACTGTGACTACCCATTGGCTCATGGAGGAGGAATGGGATGTTGTCCACCGACAACATGCTGGGTGTCAGCAGGCTTGCAGTGACAAGCTCCTCTTCCAGGTGGCGCTAACTCTCCAGTTAAACCATAAGTGTGCAATTTCAATCTTTGAGGGCCAGAATCAAACAGGTTTTCTAGATCTCTTGAATTATCAATAGCTGATTTAAAAAGTGTTAAATTGGTCCAATTAAGCTGATGATCAGCTCAGTGATGTGTGCCCCCCCCCCCCAGGACTGGAATTATGTTCCACTGAGTAACACAGGAGCTTACAATGTGTTAGAAGGTGAATATTTTCTCCCAAACAGGTACAGGTGTCAAATCTTAAACTAATTGGAAGTTCCAGGTTAATCGCCTGGATAATAGAAAAAAATGTCAATTACAATTTTCGTTTTAAAAAAGGATACAGATGCTAATAAACAGAGAATGACCACTTTTATTAACACCGGGAATATTTTTTCTTGATTTTTTCACTAACTCGAAATGCCAAGTTGGTATCAGTCTTCAGGCATCCAATGCTCACTGGTGTAACTGCAGCCAAAAACACTGTTTTTTTTTCAGAATTTATAAAATACAGTTACAAAAGCACTGCTACTCCGACATCGCTTTCATCATAAGAGGTGGCATACCCTACTTACTTGATATAAAATGCAAGGAACTTCATTTCTTCTAGTTTGCCTTTCATGACAATCTCAGTGTACCCTTCCCCGTAGCCTGCAAGTGATGAACCAGAGCAGATAATTGGTATTGAGAATCCTGTACCCACAGGAGAAGAATGAGAAGATGTAGACAGACTCCTCACATGTGCCAACCCTTTGAGCCAATCCTCATTTGGCAGGCGATATCTCAGGCGATACAGGACATTCAGTCCCCACTGGTGGAGAAGCATGCATCTCGCATTACTACAAGCCTGAAGGCACCTGGAGGTAACAGGGGTTGCTGTGTCTCCCAGTGAGCACTGGCCAGCAAATACCAGACCTGCCGCTACTGGCCAACTGCATGATGAACCCAGAATCCTGGGCACAGTCAGCTGCAGACATGACCGAAGCTTGAACCTGCTGAATGAACCATCTGGATGAGAAGCCCCCATAGAGACCATCTTTGATTCTGAGACCATCATGGAATGAATTACACCACGGTCTGCTTCTGTTGTTTGGCGGCATGTTTGTTCAGACAGGTCGGGAAATACCTGCATATCGGAAGCTCTTTCCTAGCAACACTGTCCAGAAGAAAGGAACAGAGTTGATTTCCGTTGGTATGTTCAGCATGTTCAAGGCAGCAATCCTTCCTGTAAAGAATTCACAACAACAGATAGATAATATCCAGTTATTTGCATGTTTTGTAAGTGGAGAAAGACATCTTATTTTACCATTTCGATTCCATGAGAACTGTCGGCATGGTGAGATCAAGACCGAACCAGAATGGGCTCTTTCTCTTTAGTAAAAAATCAACTGCTAATTGCACAACAACTGAGCAGTGTATCTCTGAGAACGTTACTCTCTTGTTTTGAATGCATTACACAGTTGCTTAGATCCACAACCTCCCAAGGCGTCCTGAAAGGGACTTTTATATAACCAAGGCTGTAAGGGACGTGAGTTTGGGATCCTTCGCTCCCACATGGATGTTACATATCGTCACTTCACCCTATTAGGAGTGGAGCCTTGTGCCATTTAAGCCATGTGACACCACAGAACTGCTCTTGTGCCCCCTACAAGACAGAAGCCTCACTGAGGGGGATCACTTTACTGAGGACTGACAATTATGGGATAAACATTTTAAAATGCATTCCAAATAAATCATGTCAAACATTTCAGGCTAAATATAATAAAGTCAGTTAACACTTTATGGGCTTCAAATGGAATTGCATTTTTGTTATATAACAAATGAGCTGTTGACCTTTAAATAACCTATAAGAAAGATTTATATTTGGAAATTATATGACTATTGTAAATAAACATGGTTATTTATACCTGGCAGGAACATCATACAGTATATTCCTGTTATAAAGGATTTAGATACGGATTCTGCATCCCCTAAATCACAACAGGAAGTGTTTGTGATGAAAGGTTGTTCTGTTGTTTTTTTTTTACCGTGAGCTTGCGCAACCTGCCAGTGCCCAATGTTGACTTGTTCATTTTTCCACAGGGAGAGAGGGAAGGAGGCAATATCTCCGGCGCAGAAGACTCCTGGGACATTGGTCCTCATAAACTGCAAGTCAGGATCACCAAAGTAAGACACTCAACAGGTCTATGCAGAGTCTGGCTTGTAGTGGCTCTCATTTTCAAATGCCCACAGCTGATCACCTTAATACCTACCACATGCAGTTGAAGACTGAGAATCTTGTAGGGATACCAGTGTTATTTTCTGTGTGCATTGGTGTAAGACTTTAAATAGTTCAGTATTTGATGCTGAAAATCTTTTATGATTGAAGTAAGGCTCATGGACAGACAGTCCCTTAGGCAAATAATTGTTGATTTTTGGGGGGAAGGGATTATGTTGAAGAATTTAAAGTATGATTGAACTTTGCACTATTTAATAGAAATCTATTGAAATCTAGGCTAGGCTGATGAGCATACTGTTTCAGGGTAAACAGAGAAATATTACCAAGAACAGGAAAGTTAATATTCTGTTTTTACATGAATTGTTAACCACAGAATAGTAGGCAGGTGCAACATTGTGTTTGTCAAACCTGCAGGTGATTGGGAGATCCTCTTAAGACCCTTAAACTGAAGCACCCTGGTGTTTTGCAGTGTGTGTAGATCTGACAGGTGCTCCCTTGGGTGAGCTCACAGTGAGAGACCGCCCTGAGTGGATCAGCTTACCTTGTCCACAATGACAGTCTTCTTGGAAGTCAGCTTCACCGAGCTCTCTTTCAGGAAATCTGAGTTGGGGATAACACCTTGGAAAACGAACAGAGTGACATGCTTATTGTACAGTTTAAACAAAACAAGCGTGCCTGTTGTGTTCTGGAAACCTGAGCACCTGAGATCGCTCTTACTCCAGTAAAATAATTATCAGCTCAACTAGGTGTGTTTAACAGGCTTTATGCAGTCTTTGGGGAATGAAACTCTCATTTAATAGCATAGTACCTACAATACACCCAGGGTTGTGAGCCATTGTTAGGAGGTTAAGATGTAGAGTCCATTTTGCTGTAAAACAAATTCAAGGGGATCTTTATACCTATTGCAACAATGAAGATATCTGCAGGCAAGACTTTCCCACTTCTCAGCACAACTTCCTTGACCTGCAGAGACACCAGCAGTCAGTTTTATGGGAGTGGTACTCATTATACTCAATAATTGATTCACTTTCAGTGAACAATGTGTGGTGTGTGATTGGAATGGCTCTGTACTAAAGCCCACACAAAGCATTTTCACATCCCCCTAATTGGCATAAGTGTTAAAAAGCAGAATTTTAGTTGTTGAGGGGTGATTCGTTATTAAAAATGTTGGACAAGTAAATAATGGTGTCAGTGCTCTGTCTCTCAGGTGTCGACAGACACAAAATTTCAACGTGGGTGAGATAAATTCAACATTTTGAGCGCTGCAGCTGAATCTACCTTTACTGTACCTTTCCACCTTCCCCTTTGACCTCAGTCACTGATTCGTTCATGTAGAACTTCACCAGCTTATCCTCCAGCATCTTAAAATGTTTGAAAAATACATCATGATGAGTTTTTCCTCATTCTCTAAGCACTGTTTCCAAAATACGTGGATGCCAGGCTATGTTGCGAGAGAGACAATTAAGTAATGACAGAGATCAACCAACCAACAAATTGTTTTCATGCTCATCTTGCAGAGAGTCCCAAACTACATTCATTTATTAATCCAAGACTAGAAAGACTCTTTGATTTTTTATAGTTTTCTAAAAAAAGATATTCTAATCAAAAACACTACTTAAGTAAATATTCTTTAATGATTCAGTTCATGCCTTATTCTTCTTTCCAGTGTCCATCTATCCATTATCAGAAGGCTGCTTGTTCCTGTAAAGAGGCACGGCAATCTGATTCCTATCCCTAAAGCATAGAGCGTAAGGCGACTGTGCAATCACACTCACTACTTATGGACACTGCAGCCAGCAAGTCTTTCATGCTGAGGAAGACACTGGAACACTCAGAGAAAACCCACACAGACATGGGGAGAACATGCAAACTCCGCACAGAAGGCGGTTTTGGATCTGTTGGTAGTTTTATAAACCTATCTTTTCTACAGCAAACCTTCATGGTGAGTCTCCCGATCTCAGAGCCCAAGGTCTTCTGAAAAGGGACCTCACTGCTGCCAATTACAGTCACACTGGAAGCTCTGTCAGACAGGCATGATGCCACCTCCATACCTGCAGGAATAAATAACATCTTTCAAACACAATAGATTCAGTGTGCAGGGCTGCAGCTCAAAGACAACCAAAAGAAAATAAAACAATAGGCTCCATAGAATTTCACATGCAACTGCCTTGATTGATGACAAAGCCGAGAAAAGCTGCAGCAAATTGGTACTGTATGTATACCTATGAAGGAGGTGCCCAGGATGACTGTGTTCTTGCCCAGTGCTTCCTGGTGAATTTTCGTGGCATCATCAGGAGTCTGGAGCAGTCTCACATTGTCCAGGTCAGCACCAGGGCAATGCAGTATCCTGGCTCTGAGGAATCATAATACACACCAGGCACCATGCTACAGTACATCCTCGCAGTACTTAGTATCAGCATGAGCAACCAGAACCCAAAATAAAGAACTTCCAGGCATGTTCTGAGATTTTATACAATATCTAAAATATACCTCATGCTGATTTGAGAAATAGTTTATAGAAGTGCTGAATAATTTCCATACTTTGTAAATACAATTGAATATTATATGCCATGTGAAAGTGTCAAAGAGGGTCTCATTGTGCTCCCAGTGTTAGCACAGGACTGTTTAAGACAGCAATGAGAACAGGATACCGACCTGCAGCCCGTGGCGATCAATAGCTGATCGTATCGCTGTGAAGAGCCATCATTAAAGGTGATTACGTTTTTATTTGTGTTCACTGATGTTGCCTTTAAAAACAAGGGCAGACCAGTCAGATAGCATGTAAAACATTTTGTGACCGGACATGCATATGGATAACACATCAGCTCTGCAACCAGATCAGGTCGTTTTGCTTCAGTCTTCACTCAAGCTTAAATAATTGAATTTATATGGAATGCAAGTGAATTGCAACATGTGTGCTTTCTTTTCTTGGACATTGTGAGTCTTTTCACACACTCATATTAAATTATCTCTAGTCCGTTTACTTAGATAATATGATAATATTATCTTAATGTATATAAATAGATACATATTTAAAATGTGTAAATAGATCATAGATAATATTTAGATAAGAATAATAAGCTTCACTCCACATATTCAGTTTACTTTAATCTTAGAATCACACATGCAAAGGTCTCGCTGTCTCACCTCCTTCCCCAGCCACACCTCAATGTCATACTGCTGGAAAAAGTCTGTCTGCCGGAGGAGAATATTTTGGTCCTGCACACTCAGGACCTGAAAAGCACAAGTTGGGAACAGTGCTCACCTCTGACAGGAATAAAACATCTACCTTATTTATATCTCATCAGATGTGGTTGCACTTTCAGCCTGAAAAACAGACTCTTTTTAGACCACTGGCACGTTCCTACATTCCAAATTGTCCACTGCAGGCCTGGCACACGTTTTTTTTTTTCAAATGGTTCAACTCATAGGTGTGCAACACCTGTACTAAAGGGCCGGGAAATTTGGCTCAGATAAATAAGTAGACTAATAAAATAGTTAGAAGAGCTCTGGACAAGTGAAAACCTTTAGATATAACCATACTACATCCCTGGCTGGACTAGAAACTTGTAAAGATGACCTGAAGTGGAACTGATTGCCAGGGTCTGTAGCTGCAGAACCCTTGTCGATCATGAATGTTCTGCTTTATGTCGTCCAAGCTGTCATCAAGCTGGCTGACACTAAAGCATACCTTGCTCAGCTTGGTCTTGTCATAAGGCAGCATGTTCTCCCTGGTGACCATGATGATCCGTCCTCCATAGCGCTCTTGCCGAAGGGTTTCTGCACACAGCAGTGTTGCAGGGCCTGCACCAGGGGCAAGGAGAAGTATAGTAATTCTGGCCATCTTAAATATCATTGTGATTGGACCATTAATTCATATTCATTCCCATAATGCACTGTACCTGATTCTCTTAATTCCCACCCCAAAACTAGAGAGTGTTCATTTTAATATCTATCTATCCATTCATGTACAGTAACTAAGTAACAACAGTATTGATTTGAGTAACGCAATAGAACCCCCCTGTACTTCTGAAATGGGTTGAGCTCCATGCTTTCCTCACCTCCACCTATCAGCACCACAATGTGAGATTCTCCAGGCATTCGGCAGCCCATTTTCTTGACGCGCTTGGTCATTTGCAATGCCTGGGAGGAAGAGACAGAGAGGCTCGGGATAGCCGTTTCGGTCTTGGAGTGATTTTGAAAAGTAACTCTGAACATTAAACACAGACTATTAACTCCAGTCCTTCAGGTTCAGAATTAGAGAAGAATTCTAAATCACTTTCTGTCATCAACAGCTTTAGATAGGCGGCTTAAATTCATCCAGTTAAAATGATGATCAACTTGATCAGGTTATTAAGGGCAGAGGTGGATTGAAAACCTCTAGCCTCCCGGCCTGGGGTTCTGCACCCTTACATTAAAGCAAGGACACTCAGATGAGTTTATATTACAAGTCATTATGCAAGCTGATAATACGAGACGTGTAAAGATACTGGCTATAATGCTATACGTGTTTTGACTTCATAGCAACATAGCACAAATAGCCTAAATAAACTATGTGGTAGAGCTGAGTAAAAATAGAGATGTTATGCTGCTTTGGAAAAAGTTCAGTAGCTTCTTCATTTGTCTTGTGGTGAGTTGTACAGCTTACATTAAATATGAAAACCTTTACTGATGTTCCAAACAAAATGAAACAATCTACAGCTGTGAGCTATGAGTGTCTTATAACAAATATTTTTACATTGTGGGGGGAGGGGTTCTCCACAAACAAGTTGTATCAACCCTTGTGAAGAGATTAATTAATTAAGACTGTCATGAATGAAGATGACTACTAATCTTTAAAAAGAGAAAACGCAAGAAGCAGAAGAATCAGTAGAATGATGGTGTGGAATCTAGAAGTGAGGAATGACCATTTGTTATGAACACAAATAAATAAGCGATATTAAATGAATAACAGCCCATCATTTCTGATCAAAACTCACCTTTCATTCTTATAGTTTGAGTTGTTTGCTCTCTGAACAATGTACAACATGTAGTTATTACATACCTATAAAGCACAGTTTAACAATTAAGAAATATTTTATGAAGAAGAATAAAAATGTAATGAATGCACATGCTTACCTTTTTAGTAGCTGACACATACACTTTACTGTCCTCAATCTTCACCTTAGAAAAGGAATTAAAAAAAACGTTGCAAAGGTATCAGCTAAAATCTCTGCCTGGCCCCAACTTACCTCTTTAGTAGATATGCTCATTATTTATGTAATACATATATACAGTATGTATTTTACAAGGAACTCCTTTTAAAGTTATGGTATTTTAACTACATGCAGTCACTATTAACTATAGTTATGGAAATATTAGTTAGCAACACTACAAAGCAGACCCGTCTAAACAAATGTCTAATTCCACACTTTATATGTGCACATGAAGTCAAAGTTAGCAGACATACTGTATGCAATGAGATTATCAATATTATCAGCACATGAGCATATACCATATATAGACTCATTGTATCATTGTAGATCTTTAAGTACATGGTGCCAAAAACCAAATTTTAAATCTTTAACAATAGGTTTCCGTTTGTTTTCTATGTCTAGTTCAAAGTTTAACAGGTCAATAGCGCTTCTAAGTACACTTAACTCTGAGTCATGGTTTGGGCTATGTTGTCTTTGCACACAATACCAAGGAATTTCGCCTTCCAATAATTTATAAAAAAACGTCCCTGCATGCCAGTCAGAATACTTGGTTAAACGTCCATAAATAGAAGACAGAAAGTAAAGAAACACACAGGCCTCTTTGATTACCTTAAAGGAGGGCAGACTGTCCAAGCCAGGATATTCCTCTAAGTCACCTGTCTTAATATTGAAGCATGCGCCATGCCAGGGACACCGTACCCTGTTCCCTGACAGAGCCCCTGAAGAGGAACAGATTCCAGCAAGAGATCTGCTTTGATATCAGGTAGTTCAGCAAGTAGTTCGTTACAATGACCATTAACAATGCAAACCCGTGTGTGCCTTTCTATCTAGCAGAACCATCACAGACCAGCCCCTGCCCCTCTTTCATCTCCCTGACAGTGTCCCATCAGGGGTGTGTCCTGGCCCCCGATGCTTGCCAGGTTAGGCTCCCACTCCTCCTGACCCTGTACTGGATAAGGTGGTGAGAAAATGGATGGATCCTGTAGGACTGGGACTGAAAACTGTGCTATTGTTTCACAAAGAGAAAACACAATGGCAAACTGCGATGGTTATCAATGGTGCAGGAGTGTCTCAGCACAAATGGGTTGTTTCTAGACACACTGAGGATGGCCTTACATGCGCCTCTCAATTCCTGATGCCACAGAGCACTGGAAGGCTGTTCTGGTCTAGGACGGCGAGGGGGGGTTACCTTTCCAGAGGGGGGCGCCATAGTGCGTGCACAGGCCTCCGATCGCGCTGTACTCCCCCTTGCTTCGCACCAACAGGACTTTGTGCCTCCCCACCTCCACCTCCTTCATCCTGGAGAAACGCAACAAGAGCGAGCCGTGACCGAGACTCTCCCACCAGCGCACCCAATGCCCTGATGCACAACGACGGGATAAAACTCCTTCTGAGAGCGTGGGAAAGGAGCAGGATACAGGGCACATATATTTACCCAGAGTTTATTTTCCCAGAGTTCCCTGGGGTCTTAATCCATATACTTCTCAATTACAAAACAAATGATGAATATCACATAGACTGCACACATAGGCTTCTATTCCCAGCCTTGACCTCACAGCTCACATGTGACAATCCCTGCATGTATTTCTATATTTCTGTATTACTGTTCTTTCTATTAACTACAGTCCTCCAGATGGGCATTTTTTGCACACAGCAGAGAAGTGCATTGTGTGGCCCTCTTCCTTAGTCCCAAGGGAACTTCAAAGCCATACATCAGCCCCCGGGTCACACTCCAGATCAATATCTTTCCCTTACTGGGAAGAAAATGTGGCAGGCCTCTCCTGGTCACTGGTCTCCATTCATTCATCAAAGGTGCTGCTCAACCAGACGTTATTTCAGTATCTATTTTTTTCCACACAGAGCACACTATCAACAGTGCTTGGCTATAGCTGGTTTTATACAGTATAACCCACCGTTCTCCTGTGTCCACAATAGACTGACTCATCAACACTGTTCTGGCTGTTTGTTAATACCACAGTTAACTGCATTTGTGCCTCCATGAACTTACTGTCCATCCTGCAGATCAGAGTCCAGGCACACCACTTCTGTGACCTCCTCCTGGTCTGAGTCTGGCTCTTGTCCACTGATAGCAGCTGAAAAGCACAGTAGTCCAGTCATTGACTGCTAAAACGACTCCACTTGCTGATCAGTGTAAGATCCTCAGTGCGTATCTGTTCTTATTGGTTGGTAGACTGCAAACCGTTCTGCTGACGGAATGCTAGTTGTGTGCCACAACTCAGTGTCCTCACTTCTCCACTCTAACATCTCGCAAACGCAGGTTTTGTAACAACGTCGCCGACTACAGGAAACAGAATCAACCAATCAAGTGGATCTTAACTCAAGATCCTAATCCTGTTTTGAGACTGAAAGTAAGATTGACACCGACGCTGATGAACGTTTCGCAATGACATCAGCATGTTTTAGGAATTACCTCCGTGGACGATCCACCTACTACTGATTTCAACCGTGTCGCCTGGCTACAAAATGTGGCGACAATGACACTGCGAGATCCTGAATGCGGACAAAAATAACGCATCACATTAACTAAACTGGAAACCGAATGTCTGTAATTTTTTTAACGGATTAGTATGACATATAGAGGTGGTGGATTATAGGGAGTGCATTAAAATTGGGTGTATTTCACTAAGCTTTTAAGCAAAATAATGCACTCATTAAATAACCACTTAGCCGATGCTGCCCGAGCTACAGTATGTAGTAACATGTTGAGGGAGTGACGGGCTGTTAACGTTCTTGTACGCGTCCGACGTCTAAATGTTGCATTTCAGCTAAGTATATATACACACTAAATGTATAGGGCCGGCTTTCACAATAAATATTACTCACTTTTCGCTTGTCCCTTAGACATCCCTGAGCCTGCCATGAAACCACGACGAAACGCTATAGCCCGGTTATTGAAGAGGCGCTAGAGAGCCAGTTGCGTTTCCCCAAACCGCTGACACTGGGCCGATTGCCGGGTGCGATGCGAAAGGACCAATGGAAGTCGGAACTGGATCCTGTAGCTTAGCAACCGTACCCCCCCCGGTGGGTCTGGGATGTTTGATCAGTGCTGATGAGTTGGATCGCAGGTGCGGTCAAAACAAGCGAAGCGCCATGAAAACATTAGTAGGCATTTGTTTTTAAATTCTTATATCACGGACTCCAAAAGTTCCGAGGCGCACAGAGAAAACTAACTGGCAGGAGCGCAAACAAACGTATTACCCGTAGCTATGCGGGATAGGTTTAAGGTTTTGTTTCAAGTTAAGAGTCAGACTGGCGAAACAGCCTGGGTGAGTTTGGAAATGTAGGCGATACGAGTTGGGCTTTTAACATGCCTCGGGGAGAGCAATGCACCGACGCCCCTAACACCTGTTAGATGCGGTTACATTTCTGTGTCCATCAATCCACCCATTTTTTAACCGCTTCTTCCAATTCAGGGGTCGCAGGGGACTCAGAACGGACACAAGACGGGGTACACCCTGACCTGAATGCCAGACTATCACAGGGCCGACACACACTTGGGGTCACTTTTCCCAGAAGCCAATTAAGCCACCGGTATGTTCTTGGACTGCGGGAGGAACCCGGAGCTCTCGGAGGAAACCCACGCGATAATGGGTTAAAAAAACAACATACGAACTCCACACAGATAGTACCCCAGGTATGGAATTGAACCCAAGCGCTGCAAGACAGCAACGCTATCAACTGCGTCACCGTACCGCTCTGAATGTCTATGTCGCCTTCATAATATTCAATGAAATATGCATCTGTCCACTTTCACTAACCTCATGCTTAGAGGTCAGCGGTGAACAGGTGTGGTTCCCGGAAAGGTAAATACACCGCTTTTACACCGTAAAAACAGGCGCAAGCCTGTATAAAGCTGCAACAACAGTCCGTAACAGAACAGAGACGTCGGTTATCTTCACAGCACGTACAGGACCAAATAAAGGAAGCTAGCTAAACTAGCTTTGGAAAAAAGCGGAGCCCAAAGATCATGTACTGAACGAACTTTAGTGTACACTTGGCATTGTTGTTGTCTCTTGTCCTGTTTAAGGACAACAGGTGTCAGCCGTATAGAAACTATTGTACGTGCACAAACACCGAAATCCCCACAAGATGTCGCCACACTCTACGACACAGAGCCGCTCTGTCGCTTACGTACTTCAGCGACACTACTATTGATGTTGCCTTCATGATCTTTTTCTGATTATAGGGGTTACGGGGATAAGGACGATCATAACCCATATCCTCACAATGATTGGGCAAATCGCCCTTGATTGATTTTGTAATAGGTTTATTCCATTCTGAAAAAATAAGAAAAAAACAACAACGTTTCGGGCTCACACCTGAAGAAGGCTCCACGGCCGAAACATTGTGTTTTCTGTCTTCTCTTTTCAGCCTGGAATAAACCTATTACTTGTTCCTTTGCAGCCTACGCATGCTGACGCAGCTACCCACCGGAACTACTTGATTTATTTTTCCGATTAGATTTTACATTTAACTTGTTTTGAATAAGGGCAGCAGAGTGGGACGGTGGTTTGCATTCATGCCTCGGAGTACTGGGGCTTTGGGATCAATTCCTGGGGCACTATCTGGGTGGAGTTTGCATGTTCTCCCCGCATTGACATGGGTATCCTTCTGGTTTCCTCCCAGTGTCCAAAGACAGAGGGAGGATAATTGGTTTCTGGGAGATCTGGTCCGGTCTGGTCTGGTTCTGAGAAGTGGGTGCTTGTGTCGGCCCTGTGATGGACTGGCGTCTCATCCAGCGTGTACCCTGTTTTGCGCCTGTTGCTAGCTGGGATAGACTCCAGCTCCCCTCTGCTGGGTGCTGTGGTGCGAGCTATTTCTCCTCCAGTTTCGTCTGTGGAGGGTCCTTTTGTCTGCGGGCAGATCTCACAGCCTAGGGCTGACTGACAAACCAGCTGCAACGCAGGCGACCAGGTGTAGGATGCACTTCCGATCCATAGAACAAGGCATAACAACTAGTCACCTGACACCCGCTGTCCCACACCCAAATTGCGTCGCTCTGTGACGAGACTTGACAATTAAATGGACGCTTTTCACCTCTGATCTTCTCAAAAACACATTACAGCTCTGCTTTGGCATTGTGTAATTAACCCTCGAATTCTTTGTTGTAGCTTGAATGTCTGAAATTTAAAAAATATGTTTTAGATTAGAAAAAGAAAGGAAAATCAACAACAGTACATTTTAACATATATATGAGTTGCGTGTTATGTTGATTGTTTTTTTAAAAAAAACATTTGCAATTCGACTGCGCGGAATCGCTGCTGAAAAGGACTACAACTCCCATAATCCCTCAGAGAGGCGGTGTCAAAAAGACATTTGACGCCCATGTGATTTGAGAGTGAGTAGGGCGGGGATTCTGTTGTTTGGTTACTGTTAAGTAAAAAGTTACACAAGCAAAAGAGTGGGTTTGGTAATGTGCATTATATATCCGCGACATCGTATTCTTAGCCCATACTCGTAGCCGGGGATTAGACCAGACTTTTTTGTTTTACAAATAGTCATTCATTTATGCAGGAAAGACATTTGTCCAAAACAGGTTTGCCTGTCTTTTCCACGGACAAAACGCGGGATGTTGTGTAATGATAGCAAGGTTTTTTTTTCTGTCAATTTATTATAAAAGGAATTTGATTTGAGTTTTTGAGAACTTGGAATCGGGAGTTTATTATTTTTTTAAGTAATACTTGATGTCAGCATGTTTCGTTCAATAAAATAGCAAAAGCCAGAAACAGCCTTTCTCCTGTACGTGCGTGGTCTGGCACGTTGTATTCTCGAAAACGGATTGATTTGTAGACCTCTGGTGCGAGATGGATTTGAGCGCTGTGGTTTTAACCGTGGGAGGCTCCGTGGGGGTTTTCAGACTCGTTAATAATGGACTGGCAAAGTTGCCCATTCCAGAAACAGCTCGCCGAAACACATGGAAATGGAGGAACATCTCGACGTCTTTCATTCACAGCTTGATTACGGGAATCTGGGCTGTGCTTTGGTGAGTAGCGTATCGCCCCCGTGCATGGTGCGTTATTATTATTTTGTGCATCCCATCAGAACCTGACATTGTGAAGATCAGAATTCAATTATAAATACACCCTCGCTTTCTCCCGTCCACAGGCATATTGATCGGAGAATGGTTGTGACTCGTAGTCTGTCGCTCCAGCATCATAATACACATGTCGCGCTCTCTGTGAAAAATGATAACCAAGTAGCCCTTAAACAGTACTTTCGGTTTTGCTTTAGTGTTTAGACATATTCAAAACTACCGTTAACGCTATCTACGGCAGCAGGAGGTATCAACTTCAATTTCACGGAGGATCGCAAATTGCGTTTTCCCAATAAGGACGCGAGTTACTCTCCATTCTTGCGAAGCTGCGAGGTCCTTACTGATTACACCCCCCTTTGCTGTTCAAGAACGCTGAATTACTGGCAGACGATTAGTAATTGGTTGGAACCATTCCCAAATGCTTTACTGTACATTGAACCACAGATACGTTTGATATGTATGCAACTATTGTATTAACCGTGGAGGTGAATTCTAAAGAAGATGTTATTCTCCAACGTGTTTTTCAATTCCGACAGTTTCTGTCTACACCCTGAGATGGCTGAAGATTTGATCTCCACCCATTCCAGTTTCTCTCATGCGCTGGTGTCGATATCCATAGGTGAGTGTCGATAAAGAGGATGTTCATCTGCCATGAACTTTACAATTTCAAATGCCGTGGTCCTTTGCAGATACGCGTGTTAGGAAAGAATTTCGAGTCACACGCGTCTTTGACATCACGTGGAGCATTTGTTACAAAATCACACACGTGGAGTTGGGCGGGGCAGTCCGCGCTTCTGCTATTAGAGAAGACGCGGAGATTGTTGACGCAGGTTGTAGTACCGCGGGTCTGCCCAAGCGATTTCATCTTGGGCGTTGAAAAGGCCTTATTTCTTAAGCAGAAACGATAAATGACTTTTTTTTTGTTGTTGTTGCTGTAGTCTCCACCGGGTCAAATTCAAGCGCTGATTGTAAAACACACCATATTGGGCAGCATTTCTGCTTGAGAGATTTCAGTAGTATTGGTTACATCACTTCTGCCTGGAATATGTAAGTTTGCACAGGATTGCCTGTGACTTTATGCAGTCTTTCAGGTATGAAGCTGCTCTGTGTCCAGTAGGACCCAGTAGGATCCCTGCTATGCATGGATGCTTTATTAACTCTCTAGATCCACCTCGAATTGTAGAGCATTGTTCATTAATGGAATGTTTATTAGACGCTTAATGAAAAGATGCCGTCCAGTAATTTGTAGAAGTGACACCAGATAGGAAAGCACAGAAAACCCCTTCACTGAGCACAAATCATTAAACATGAAACAGGTGAGAATAGCCTAGAACAGCACAACATTTTGGTTTTTGCACCAGTCATCGATGTGGTCGTTGTTTCAGAGTTTTGTTTTGCATGGTTAGCAACAAGATAAATGAACCATTGCTGTCGTAGGACATAATGGACCTCAGTTTCTCAAGAATTCACGACATGCAGATGTCACAATGCAGTATTTCACAACGGATTTTGTGACCCTGGTCTGATGTCTTTAGGTGTGAAATAAATGTTAAAAATTTACAAAAAGCATAACCCATCCCATATGTCAGCCTCAGTACTTCCGTATTTCAGTTCCACCATAATTAAGGCAGAGAAGAGATGTGTATTGTACACGAAGCTTAATGCTAGGGCGACCCACCTGGCTGAGAAGAATGAAAACTCATCTGTAGGGTCTGTAGGGAAGGGGCTGTCAGACCCCCCCAGTATGGGATGGAGTGGTCAGCGTTGCAGCCTCACAGTGCTGTGGCCCTGGGTTCCATTGCTGTGGTGCCGTCTGTGTGGAGCTTGATGTTCGCAATGGTTTGTTCCCCCAATCCAAAGACCAGCTGGTAGGTTCAGTGGCTTCTGGGAAAACTGGCCCTGGTGTGAGTGTGTGCGCGTGGTTGTGTCTGTGTGTGCCCTGCAATGGCCTAGCTTCCCATCAGGGATGTATCCTGTCTTGCACCTGTTGGATACTGGGATAGGTTGCAGCTCTCCCTACACCTGAACTGGATAAAGCGATTCCACAAGGGATGGATGGCCTCCGTTCATGTTGCGATTGTCTATATTTACTTCTTCGTTTACAACCTTGAAGTACTGCAGTTAACAAGTACACAGCAGTCAGATCAGTCCCCGATCCTTTCCCATTCAACAAACTGTCCTCAAGAACTCAAGGGCGGTTTAAGAAATGTAGCCAAAATTCCAAGCAGCTTAACTTCAGATTTACGTAGGAAGGTGAGAATATTTAACATAGCAGAGGATGACTGCCAGCACAGAATTCCAAATATTATTTGTTCTACTTTTTCTTTCTACTTTCTTCCAATATGCCCTCTTGTTATCTTACCAAACTGGCAAGACAGCTTTCTGAAGCTGCTCTTGTTGACTGCAGCAAGCTGGGCAGCTGAGATTCTGCAGATTCCTGGGATTTTTCCCATTCTTGGAAGAGTCCCACCCAACGGGCGTTGGCAGGGATTTGCCTCGATCAATGGGGGGCTTTATCGCCTGTCCCAGGCACGGGGTCGCCCCCTTCAGATCACATGACCGTTCAAGAATGGGCTGCAGCTCAAAACAAGCCTTCCTCTTTTTACTTTAACGTGAAACAGAGTTTCTTTTTCTGTTCGCACAGTTACAAAGGCGCCTATAGATCACAGACTTCCTTCTCTCCCAGTGTGGTCAGAGGAAAGGATAACAGCTGCCTTTGAAGGCTTCATTTGTAATAATAATGATAATGTTTCTTTATTAGCCCTATACAATTTCTTGCATTAGGAATTTGTCTTTTCACATACCCCAGCTTTTCTCCATGAGACACAAGACAGGGAGTGAAGCTGGGGGTCAGAGCGCAGGGTCTGCCATTGTACGGCGCCCCTGGAGCAGTTAGGGTTAAGGGCCTTGCTCAGGGGCCCACTGGAGTAGGATTCCTCTGCCGGCCGTGGGATTTGAACCAGCAACTTTCCAGTCACAGGCGCAGATCCTTAGCCACAGAGCCACCGTTCCGCCCCAGCGAACTCCTTTAAGCCATTTGAGATGCTGTATTGACTTTTAGAGCTGTCCCATACATGGATAACACACACAGCTGTGGCTCCAAAAAGCTGTTCAACATGGCTCTCATTGCCAATACGGGAGAGAGGACACAGGGTGCTTGGTTTCTAGTACAACAGTGTTTTCTTTTCATAGATATTAAGGAGCCCAAAATCTTAACTCAAAAAGTCCTGCGATGTGTGGTTAATTAGATGTAGAATACGAACTACAGGCCGTGATGGCATTTAGTCACTAAAAGCACTTCGCAGCTGCCAATGCACAGAGAAAACAGATAAGGGGGGATGTTATCATATGTGTACTTCACAGAAGGAAAGATTTTGACTACAGAAGTTTCTCTTTCGGTTACGTCACTCTTCAGGAAGCCTTGCCTTATCGGCCTGTGAAAGGCATTCAAATAACCGCTTGGCAAACAGCGAATCGCCGTCTCGTTTCTGAGGCCCGCTGAGATGCGCACCTGGGCGTCTGGGTGAAGGCCTGTGCTGTGACGTGGCTCCTGCTGTCCTTGCGTCATTAGAGGAAATGAGCTTTGTGTGGTGGAGATGATACCTGCAAGGATGACGGGTGTATTTACGATACAAACGTGCTGAAGAGCACTTGCAAAGGCAAGTCATTGATAAGTGTCCTGGACTCTTCTGGATTTATTTATTCGTTGAATACAGAAAATATCATTCATGCGCGCATTAGCATGGAATTGGCTTTTGTGAGGTCGATTTTTCCCCCCCCCCTCATAAAAACCGTGTGGGTTGAGAGTCTGAGTACAGGAAATGATTTTGCTTTGAGGTTTCAAGAATTTTGAAATGTGCGTTGTGCTTTTGCAACCCCTCACTATGATATGTCATTCGGGTTTGTTTCCTATGAGAAGCGGGGTAGGTTACTGGCACCAGGACCACTATGAAGGATGGTTCTGCCTGCAGATGTTGCGCGTTGGTAGCTTTGAGACCAGTCCCATCTTTTGAATTTCCATGAATGTTCCTGGAAGTTCTGTCATTACCCTTCAGTTATCACAGCATAACTAGTTCTGCTCACATGCTCACTCTGCTCACTAGTTCACATGCTTCTGGCTGTGATCGTCTCGTGATGATGTTTCAGAGAGTGTCTAATTGCTGTCAGACCCTTATAATACACATATCTCTCCAGAGCTCTTTTCTGCTCTCTGTCCCCTGAGTCTCCTTACACATTTTGGATCTGTCTGCGGTTAAGGAGCCTCAACACTTTCTTTTCGGATTGCAAATGAGCACTGCAGCTATGCTACCCAAATGGCCCATCTCTGTTTAATTCCACTCCTGCAAACACATGGAGAATAGGAACATCTGGATTGCTTCCAAGGTAACCTGATGGACATAACAGTATAAATTGAGTGGAGAGTAGATTTTTTGGAATGTGAATTTTAAATAGGTTATAGGATGTGATTTCTATGCGATTAAAGAAATTATGTCCGTATATTCGTATCAATATATACGTAACTGAAAAAACTCTGCGTTTGCATGTGCTGCGAAGATGATCGTCGTGTCTCATATTCCAAGAGAGATTGTTTTGTTCATCATTTATTATTTAAGCCTTATCAGTCCCTCCATAAGCTTGTACCCTATGCAACGACCCATTTTCCCCCATTCTAGAATGCTGTCACCATGGAGACACTGTTAGTGGGCGACAGATATAAATAGCAGCCTGGAACTGACATCTTGGAAACCATTCCATGGTGTCGCCATGGTAGCCTGGGCCTAGCAACTGCGAAATGTCAAAGATGGCTGCTGCATTAAAGAAAAACCATATCAATTATTGCATACATGAAGGGAAAAGCACAAGACTGGTTTGCTTTTAGTTTTATGGGTGAGGTGAACGGGGGAAAATGTGGACTTTTTATTATGGACACATAGGAATGAGTTTCCTAGAGTTGCACATGATTGCATGCGAGACCGATGGTGAGGTTCGGATGTAGTAATTATTTGGCCCTTTGATCTACCTTGTACTTCTCTTTTCTTCTAGGCTACTTCATCTATGACTTCTTTGACATGGTCTTGTATCAGAAGCTACACCAGTCCTGGGAGCTCCTTTTTCACCACATGGTGGTAAGTCTCTTCAGGAGTTAGGTAACAGAGACGCATTCATGGGAGCACAGACCTTTCCTGTTAATGTGTTTTTAAAAACACATGGGGCTCCATAAGGAATTCGAGATCCACTAGAATCTTGAGATGTCTAGGAAATTTGAGATTCCATGTAAAAAAATCAGACTTGTGTTGCATGTCTGTCCTGTTTTTGATAAAAAAAGAACCTCACAACTAGTCCCGTTTTTCACGTCTAACTACTGCTGCAGACATAAGTACTAATACTAGCAATGTTATTCACTAATTTATTTAGTCTGTTAATCTGTTGTACTGTACGTATTTTACATTGATGGATCTTTTTAGCACTCATTCACCATTGCAGATATGTCACATGCGTTACTTTATTTGATACCTATTGCTGGAGCTCTGTAGAATTCATTAAAATAAGGGAGGACTGGAAGATTTACGCAAGGAGTACTTCTCTTTACCCATGACCCATGAAACCATCCTGCAAGATTTGGTATGCTGTGTAGATCACACACTCCACACTGCATCAACACAGGGCTGGATTGAAGATTGATAGAATATGAGTTGATCAATCAGGTGGAAGAGCATCCCTCTCCCTTATTAGAAAGCTCAGCTCAGGAAGAATTGCTGTATGTCTGAGCCCCTCTTGCCACTCTGCCCACTTGAACAGTGCTGAATAGCTCCTACGTTTGAGTGTCGGATAATGTGTACTATCTCATAGCGCATTGAAATCTCTTTAGAATGAGCTCTATGCATATTCACTGTGACTTTGTTCTCATTTGGTGCTTGAATCACAATGGTGTGATGTTGCAGGATGTTGCTGTTCAGACTAGGCTTCTTTTTGCAAACATACAGATGCTTCTCATTCAAAACTCAGGCCAGTCATCCCTTGTGCTGGACGTCTTGAAGTCAGATCATGTGTCGAGTATTCTTTCATTCCCAAGAACAAACCTGGCATTTCTTTCCCAAGTTGTTCAGGTATGAAGCTTTTAAAATGAATGCAACAGAGACAGTGGCAAGCACATCCTTCTTGAGGCCTGCCTGTGTCTTCCATTGAGTCTCTGTGTACAGTGTTACAAGAACCCCAAGCAAGAAACAACAAGTTGTGTACAGCAGTGTGAAACATAATCAGTGGAGTAGAAGCAAAAAACTTAAATGACCTTTATTTGAATGTTTGCATATGTTCATTCAATGCTTTTTACTGTGTAGTATGTTAGCAGGTTTGCATTTTCTTGGTGAAAGTATGGAAAAGTCTGATCTCGGTGACTGACCGACTGAACTGCGCTAAGCCCTCTTCAGTCTGGTTCAGGAATACACACCCTTGTATTTTTAAGGTCAGCTCATCAATCTGGCTCTGATCACCGATGAAGGGGATGGGTGTGCCTTGCTCATTGTCTGTTTGAGTATTTTAACTGCACCCAGCACAGTGATTTCACTTATTCCCTAAGGCACATTTAAGCTCTATGGTGCAACACACCTGCACAAAGAAACCCATCAAAAACTCGGTTTTGGAACTTCTTCTGTTTTCCTAAAAAGAAAAAGGAGCTGGTTATTTTTTCCGAAGCACCGCCAACCAGGATGAAGCATTCAAAGAATGTTTTTTCTGCTGTCTCGTTTGGTGAAAGCATCTAAAAATACAGCGGAAAGGTTCTCTGGAAGCCTCCCAAAAGTATCTTGACCACTTCTAAGCCACATTACGTCATCTCTTCTCTCTTTGCTCTGCTGGGGAAACAAACTTACTGCATCTTCCTTTGTGTTTCTCTTGCTGCTGTGCTTCTGAAGAAGAGCCTTCCAGAATTGAACTAAAGAGTGTGAAAATCACACTCCCTCATCACATATGCTCAGAGGTTGGCTGTGTCCTCAACCTAATACCCTTCTTTTGCAGTAAAAAAGAAAACTACCAAGATGACAAGTCTGAATCATCCCTTTACTATATTTGATTTTCCCATTGCATTTTTTGTATTGTTTTTACATTAGTTATGGTGTGCACTGTACTTCAGCATATTAACAGTCTTCTTCCTCCGTTTGTTTGTGAAATTGCATGGCATTGTTGTTTGATTTCCTTTGCTTACATCTTTTTATGGACGTACTGATAGTATTTTCACATACTGTATGCACCCTTGAATAAGACGTTGATTTAATACATTCCTATCATTCTAATCATTTTTGTGTGCCCTACATCACAGAAACATCTATGCATCTGTACATCTAGGACAAAATTATTTTGATAAAGTATCACTTATCCATAAACAACTACATTTCCCAAGGTGCATTGGTGAGCTGGCCTGCCAGCCATGCAGGTTTGAATGATCAAAAAGCCATCTCTCTTTAGCTCAGGTGTGGGCTGCTAGGGTAGTGTTGTCCACCTGCACTGCTCCACTCAGCAGGGCTTCCCACACTAGGAGCTGTGGCATACTCTCAGGCATGCTGCAGAAGCAGGAGGGAGAGACCGGGTTTAAAAAGTGGGAATCAGGAGCTTTGTTCACTTTATGCCCTCTGAGACATGCTCACATTTCACATTACAATAGGAAAAAAAAATGAAGCCAAACACTGCATTTCTCATTATAATTGTAGTCTGTTTCAGTCCAGACTAAACCTTATATGTAGCAACGTTTGTTAATTTAAAGTCATTTGGGGTGCCCTCAGAAATAAGGACATGAGCTGAAAAGGTCTGGGAAGCCCTGCCCTAAGTGTCAGTCCACGTTCTGTCTCCATAGGGCCATTCATACATTCCTTGGCCAAGAACTGACCTTGATCCTTGCAAAGAAAAGGGCTGGCCATGCCGAAGGGGCGTGAATGATCTCGGACAAACAAAAGCATTTTAAAGGCCCCCTCCCTGGAGGAGAGGAGAAAAATGCGCAGGACAGGCAGCGGGAAGCGGAACGTTTGCCGTATTTAACAGCTGTTTCCGAGCCTGGGGCGTCTGGGCTGCTGGAGGAGAGCCGGAGAAGGTGTGGAGAATTTTCCCACTCCACGGCCTCTTGTGTCCTGGCTGACCGCCAGCAGTAACGCAATCCGCACCCCACCCCCACAGCTGCTTTCAGGAAACGGGAAGTCCTGCTGCCTGTGCAAGAGTGGGGATTTTGTTGATCTCTCCGCACTCGGGCGTCCAGAGCTATATTGGACAAAAAATAGCAACGCGTGAGGTCAGACCCAGCAGTTCACAGTACAATCCAGTGCGCTCAAGATCGGGAAGCTGCTCTTTCTGCACGAGAGGCCAGAGCACTAGGCCTCTTTTACTGAAGCTGCTTTTACATATAATCACAAAATAAAGGCATGAAAAGGCAGTGATTTTGAAACAAAGGTATTAGGCAGATGAATCTGTAACTTAATATTTTGCTTGAGCTTCATAGGGAACTCCCTATCCCTACTTCAAGACTGTTGCTGTTGCAAACCACACAGGTGTTAAAATGCTTAGTTGGACCCTCATCATGCCATGATGGAGTAGGATAAAGACATTTATAGCGTTTGTAATTTCTCAAGTTGTTGTAAGCCCCGGCACTGGATGATTTTGAGACTCCTTCCACTGTTAGTTTGCTTTTAAACAGTTTGAAGGTGTTGAAAAGTGGCGAAAGCGACTGAGAGCTGGTTCAGTGTTCAGTTGAAAACCTGCTTCTTTTTTTGCAAGCAGGTCTTGAGGTAAAAAGAGAAGCGTTTTGCTCATCTTCGGTGGGGAGGGAGGCGATAAAATTTGGAACTTATGTATGTACGTTTGCACATCAAAGGGAGCAGTTTGTTTCTTTTAGTGAAACTATGTTCCTTTTTCCAGAAATTGCTCTCATCCAACTTTTATCAATCATAATTGAGTTTCTTAATTGAAGCATGGGGTTTCCTCAAGGAGACACTGGCATGCTGCAGATACACATGAAAAGGCACGGGATTTGCCTTGTGATTTTGTTGTTGGAGGCCTGACTGTCTTTTTTTTCAAGTAACTTTAAACATGTTAACCAAAAGTGTAAAACAAAGAAACAGACAGAAAAGAAGGTTTGGGAGACAAAGGCACGAAGGTTTCGTCTTGTTTGCAAGTGTTCTTACAGTATGTGAACATGTAATAAGATCCCTTGAGCACCTAGAGTACACAGCGTGCACAAGGGACTAGATTCATATGATAACGCTTTCAAGGTATCAGCTGCGTTCTGTGAAGAAAATATGAGTGAATCATTCAGTGATGAGGATTCTTGTATATTGTCCAGAAGCAATTCCGAGAAAATTACTTCATCTATGATGGTCACATTCCAAATCGTGAGCGTGAAAGGTTTGTGTGAAGCCTCGATCAGAAGAGTAGACGCAGAAGACGTCCTATGTCTGCAGCCCTCCTTTCTGAGTTGCGAGCGCTCGCAGCCGAGTATTGTAATGGTGGGGCGCAGAGAAAGGGCAGAAAGGGGTGTGTCAGCATGCAGGAATGCTGTCCGTTGAGAGGCAGGAGCACGATTTTTCCTGCGTCTGAGAAAAGAGCTGTTTCTGTGGATGTTGTGTTCCAAGAGCTGGAATGTTGGGAGGGAAAATCGTAGAGGTTAAGTGGAGTGTTCCTCCTATGACCTAATGTGTTTCCTCAGGAGGGGGAAAAAAATCAGTCCATAAATTTCGCAGGCATCTCCGGAGAGAATGTAAACATCCCATTCCATTCCCAGCCGGAATGCTAAATCTGCGTGTGTCGGGTGGGTTTTCTAGCCCTGCCTTTATGGAGTGCGGCGCTCTCTTTTGAGAGAGCCGTCCCTCACTTTTCATGAGATCTGAGTTGTGAGAACTGGCACCTTTATGGACCTGGAAAATCAAATAAAAAGCAACATTTCCAGCTCAAATCAAAGATTTATACAGGACTCTGCAACTGTTGGTGCTGCCCTTCAGTAGTACCGAGCCACATCTGTAAAGACATTTGTGGATATTTCCAGTGGAACAGCACTGTGGTGAGGCAGTAAAGCTTTCTCACAAAACGCTGTTCGTGAAAAGGAAAAAGTGGCAAATAACCTAAAGAATCCAAAGACCTTATTTCTCTG